CCCTTGGGGAGGGGGGTGGCCCTCATACCCCAGGGGCTTCCCACTTGGTGCCCTTAGAGTCTCCGGATGGAGGGGACTTGTGAGGAGGGCTGTCCTTGTGTGAGTGAGGGCCCTGGGGGCTGCTCTTTCTCCTGGATCATTGGTGCGTCTCGAGTTGAGGGCTACCTCTCCTGGCCTGTGTCTTGATGCCATCACCCCAGACAGGGCACAGGAAGTTGGCAAACCTCTCCCTCAGGGGTCTCTCTGCCCCGACAGGAGCCACCTTGGCCTGGGCTCTCGGGGTCACCTGGGAGTCAAGATGTCGCCACAGGGACCTGGCCCTAGAGCCAGAGACTGAGTCTTAGGTGTGGAGGAGTCAGTGGCTGGTTGGCCTGGGGCGAGGGAGAGGTCACAGTCACTTGCACGATCACACACAGCTGTGCAAAATGCCCATGCCAGGGCCACACAGGGATCATGTGGGTATCTCAGCCTGAGCCTACGGCATCTGTCTGAAGGATGGAATTTCTTTAGTAAGAGAGAGAGAAGGTAGACAGAATCAACTGGTCAGGTTTGGCAGGTTCTGGACACTGCTCAGGGTCCTGGGGGTGTTTTTCCTGGATCAGGAGGATAAGGCCCTGAGAGATGGGTAGTTGAGTGGCCCAGATGGATAGTTGGACCAAAGTAGCTGAAATTACTTCAGAGCAGAAAAACTTCCTGTCATTCTCTGCTCTCCATAAAATCATGTTTACACATATGTGTATGCATACATGCACACGTATACACAAGTGGGTCGACTGGGCCTGGAGCCCAGAGACCAGCACGGAGGGTGGGCACCAGACCAGATGCTTGCTGGGGGGCAGGGAGCGTTTGCTGGGGGTTGGGGAGCAGGAGTTGGGCTGCTGCCCGCATGGCCCTTTCTCAGGGACTGGGGCAGGGCACAGGCAGAGTGAGTGTCTGCATACAGATGGCTGCTGGGGAGCCAACGAAATGGCTTGGAAAATGTCCTTATTGGGTATTTGCAGCTCCAGCTTTGTTGGGGTTGGCACCTGGTGTGGGCAGATGGCTCTGCCTGCCTGTCGTTGCCGAGTGGCTTTTTGAGCCCACCGTGCCCAGCGAGGCAGCCCGTGCCCTCTTGCGCTCCATGCGCTCCGTGCTGTGCTGTCGGCTTTGCATATGTGAACCCACTTAGCCCCACACAACCCCTGTGCTAGGGCTAGGGTCCCCATTCCACTGCAAGAGAAAGGGTGCAGAGAGGCCAGGCTAAGGTGGCACTGCTAGGGAGCAGCCAGGCTGTTGGGCGGCATCGAAGCTGCCACCTGAGTCGGCTGCCTTGAGGGCACATCGGCGATGTGTTCCGTGAGGGCCTGTGTGTAGAAGGCATGATGCACGGTGTGGCTGGACTGTGAAAGGGGGCAGCTTTGGGAAGCCCTGGCCCAGTGTGCCTTCCACCAGAGAAGGCCTTCCCCAGACCACAGCCCTGGGGGCATCCTCAAGTCAGAGGAACAGGAATGTGCTGGTGACTGGACCACCTTGAGGCAGGTACCATCCCAATCCCCGAAAGCTTTCCTCTTCTCCCTTTGCTGTCCTCCCTTTCTTGTTGTTGGTATCAGCCGTAGCTTCTGAAGAGTTCCTCCCCCCCCGTCCCTCTTTTTCTGGAGTCTGGCCTTTCTGCTGGGGGCTCCTCGGTCTGCCTCTGCGTCTCCTCCCCGTTTCCCCCAAACAAAACAACAGACCAACCTCTCCTGCAAACCGCGCAGATGGCCAGACCGGGCACACCTCACGCTGTCCTCTCAGCAAACGTGGGTGCCACAGTGCTGGGGGCCAGCCTCCCGCGCGAGGAGCCTCGTGGCCGAGATGCGGGCTCACAGCAGGGCCTGGGGGCTTGGAGAAGGACTGGTGGCTGCTCTCCCTGCCTTTTGTAACATCTAAAGTCTGCCCCAGCCAAGCACTAACCAGGACCTGCTGTGAGCTGACGTCAGGACAGAGGGCCCCGCGGGGCCGGCTTTGATGTTTCCCAGGCCCTGTCGTGGGGGCGCAGGGGGCTCTGAGTGGCAGTCTGGGAATGCAGCATCTCTCACCACAGCCACGGAGCAGCCCCAGCCCCAGGAGGCTGAGCTGGGGTCCCTCTGAGTCATGCCATCCCTTGTCCCAGCTCAGGTTTCTGTGGCAAGTGGTCTGTGGTTCCTGCAGCCCCACGGCCCCTTTCCTGCCATCCCACCCCTGCAGCTGATTATCCCCCTCAAACTCCTCCCCATCCAGGGTCTGAGAGTGGTCCTGGGCCTTGCAAGGGGGGGAGCTTTCTCACGTCCTTACAGTGCGAGTCCTTGGGCAGGAAGGGTGATAATGATAATAGTAAGGGTAGCAGCTGCTCACTGAGTTTGCTCTGTCCGAGGCACTTCACACACATCACTGCCTTTGTGACTCATGACAATCTCAGGAGAGAGGCAGAGGAAGCTGAGACACACACTGTGTGTGACAGTCACACACTGAGTATGATGGTCAGGATTTGAGCCAGACCTGTCTTGATTCCAAACCCTTAACTAATGCTCCTCTGCGTGGGCGAGACTTCCGTCTCCCCACTGTGTCTGGACAAGCCGAGCTGGGAAGTGGGGGTTGGCCCACACTTTGAGGCAGGTGGTCTCTCTTTGGCCTTTGACGAGCGTCCTGGAGTTCTGGGTCGAGGGTCCCAATATTTTGGTGAGTCCCCTAGGCAGAGGCCCACTGGGACCCCAGCTCAAGTCTGCCCATCTGTGTCGTGAGAGGCGGTCAGGAAGTGTTCTGGAGCCCTCCATGTTCACCAGCTTTGGCCCCACACTTCCTGTGAGGTTAACCTCAGTTCGGCCAGTGTTTGCTGAGTGCCTTTGTGTGCCTGGCATTGTCTGCAGGAGGTGTGTTCACCTCTCGCTCCCTGGCAGCGGGGAGTGAGACCGGCTGTGGGAGCAGATACTTCCAGGGTTGGTTTTGAGTTCCTTTATGGGGATGGGAGGAATGCGGGTCTAGGATTTGGCTTCCTCGGGTCATGGTCCTGGCTCTGCCACAAATTAGCTGTCTTATCTCTGGGAAATCCCTTCATCTCTCTGGACCTCAGTTTGCCCATTTGTACTACAAAGAGATTGTACCGAGTTGCCCAGTCAGGGCAGGGCCCACTCCTCTTTGGTGATTGGAAATGAGTGGGGGTGTTTGGATTGTCACGGTGATCAGTAGTGTCCAGGGGGCAGATTTGTGAACTTGCACGTTTGGCGAGATAGCCCGGCATGGGGGAGATTTATCCCTAGAATCTAGAAAGCCAGCAATCCCCACCGAGCAGTGATAGAGATGGTCTGAGCCACTTCCACCTCTCTGTGCCTTAATGGCTGGCCCCTCTGAGAATGTTGGGAGATAGACCAACACCAGGGGCTGTCCCTCATCTGGACCCAGCCCAGGGGGATCCTGCACTTGCCTTGACACTGACTTTATGAGGAGACTGTTCTTAGGCCCTAAAGAACTAAACCCCACCTCTAGGGATTTAGAAGGTACTCTTTTTTTTTTTTCCCTTGCTGAGGAAGATTTGTCCTGAGCTAAGATCCATTGCCAATCTTCCTCTTTTTGTATATGAGCCGCCACAACATGGCCACTGACAGACGAGTGGTGTAGGTCTGTACCCGGGAACCGAACCCGGGCTGCCAAAGTGCAGTGTGCTGAACTTAACCACTAGGCCACTAGGGCTGGCCCTGGAAGGGTACTCTTTGGGCCAAGATCATTCTCCACTGGTTTGGGAGGGAATGGGCAGGACACCATTAACCTCTTCCTTCTTGTCCTGCCGGCCCAGTTTGGCCAGAGGCAGAGCCTGCTTCTTCACATAGCTGCCACAAGTGACCTGCTTCTTCCTGGTGGGGAACATCCTCTTCTGTGCTATCACCCACCTCTGGCAGGCAACTGGTGTTCCAGGCCCAGCAGCCCCAGGCCTCTGCAGGGCACCCGCGTGGGCTGGGAACAAAGACCAATGTGTTATTCCTGCCGCCATAACCGTGCCGCCTGCCCTGCCCTGCCCTCTGCTTCCCCAACCCATCTGCTACTCAGCACAGCCTTCTCACTCTTCCCTTTGTTCCCACTGGCTGCAGTTCCACCTTTGGTTGCAGGGCCCCTCTTTTCCAAGGGTGCCCTGCCCCCTGCCCCGGCCAGGGCTGAACTGTAGCCATGCAGAAGGGAGAATGGAGTCAGTTGAAAACCCGGAACCACTTGGCCAACCTCTCAATTTAGCCCAGGGAAGTCAGCCTTGGCCACAGACCATCCTTAGAGATAGAGAGTAGGTGTCGGGTGGCGCTGGCATGTCTTTGGGAATAACCCAAGTTCTAGAGAATATTGGCTTCTTCCTTGTTGAGTGGGTTCTCCCAAAGAGGCCCCTGGGGAATGCTGGGCTGAAGAACGTCTATGGGTTGGATTCAGAGCACCCTGTCCGACCTATGGCCGCCTCTGACGCTGCACCCTCAGTGGGTGTGAGTGCCTGGAATCCTTCTAAGATGCTCTTTAAATCATGATTTAAGTTTGTTCAACGTCCTGGACTCTGAAGATGGTGGAGAGGGTTGCCTGCTAACATCCCTGGCATCAAGACCTCCTGTGATCTGGTCCTGCATATCCAAAGCCCTCTTCCTCCAGGGAGCCTCCTGTGTGTGCCACCAGGCCCCCCACCCCAGCTCTTAAGTTTCCCTCCCTCTTCTGTGCTCTAGAGGCACTGAGTGCCCCCACCATTCATTTTGCATGAGCCTTGCCACGTCCTGTATTGTTTTCCTGTGTCCCTCTCTAGACAGGCCTCCTGGAGGGTACTGCGTCTTTGTATCTTGTGGAGTACCCATCACAGTTTAAAAGTTCCTCAGTGGACACTTGGCAGTTGTGGTCTCATGATCCTTCTCACCTGCACTTATTCTCGCCTCCTGTGTGCACAGCCCCTTTCCTCCTCCTGTGCACAGGGTGATGGGTGACCTGTGTTAGGACTGTGGCTGCAGCTCCTCCTGACCCTGCTTCTCCTGTGTCCCCACCTGCAGGTGCCCAGGCAGCCATTGTCTTCATCAAGGAGCCGTCCTCCCAGGATGCACTGCAGGGGCGCCGGGCACTGCTCCGCTGTGAAGTCGAGGCCCCGGGCCCAGTACACGTGTACTGGCTGTTGGATGGGGCCCCTGTCCAGGACACCGAGCGGCGTTTCGCCCAGGGCAGCAGCCTGAGCTTCGCAGCTGTGGACCGGCTGCAGGACTCAGGAGTCTTCCAGTGCGTGGCTCGGGATGACGCCACTGGAGAGGAAGCCCGCAGTGCCAATGCCTCCTTCAACATCAAATGTGAGAGCCGGGGGCTGTGCCCGCCCCTCACTACACCCACACCTCCTGAGCCCTGCAGGCCCCCTCCTTTCCTGCAGCTTCTCCCGTCTCCAGTTGAATGGGGCAGGCCGGGTGCAGTCGTGGTCAGGTCTTTCAGAGTTTCTTCTTCAGAGGAAAGGAAACTTTTAATTTTTCCAAATGTGTTTTTTTCCTTCAAGTCTGGACCCATTTATCTGCTAGATGCTTTTGCAAATGGCAAGAGCAATGAGGCAATGTGGCCAAGTGTCAGGCTTGGCCTACCAGGGACCCGGCAGGCACTTGGTCCCTGGGGTCCTCGTCTGCAGCCCTGCCCTCAGCTTCACAGGGCTTCCCTGTGCCGTCTCTTGGCTCTAGAGCCTTTAGGTTCCATCATTTCCTGCTTGTCTCCCTTCCCCTCTGCCCTCCCACCCTTGCTCTGCTCCGTCCTTCACTCTGCAACCGTGGGCTCTGCTACAGGGATTGAGACTGGTCCTGTGGTCCTGAAGCATCCAGCCTCAGAAGCCGAGATCCAGCCACAGACCCAGGTCACGCTGCGTTGTCACATTGATGGGCACCCTCGGTAAGGAGCTGACTTTGAGAGTGGGGATGGAGAGGGTTATTCCAGACAGGCAGGGATGTGTCCCCAGATGGTAGACTCTATTCGGATGCACCTTCATCCTGTAACCACCCTACCCATAAGCTGCCTCACACCAGCCCCTGGTGACTGAGGAGGGGCAACATTGTGCTGCAGAGTGATCCTGGATTCTGGGAGCTGAGAGATTAGAATCTCAACCTGATTCTACCCCTGAGTTGTTGTGTGCCCTTGCGCAAGTCACTTCCTCTCCCCAGGTCTCAGTTTCCCCATTTGTAAACTGAGGGGTCTAGCCCTGACCCCTTCATTCTGTATCCTCTCCGCTGGCCACCTGAGTACCCCTGCTCCCTGCTGCTGACCCCCTTGGCCCCGCAGGCCCACCTACCAGTGGTTCCGAGATGGGAACCCCCTCTCCGATGGTCAGAGCAACCACACAGTCAGCAGCAAGGAGCGGAACCTGATGCTCCGGCCAGCCAGCCCTGAGCATAGTGGCCTCTACTCCTGCTGCGCCCACAATGCCTTTGGCCAGGCCTGCAGCAGCCAGAACTTCACTCTGAGCATTGCTGGTGAGCCTGGGGCAGGGGTGTAGAAGGTAAGGTGGGGGTGGGAGTGGCCTCCCCACCCTGCCTGTTCACATGTTGTGCTTCCTCCACCCAAGATGAGAGCTTTGCCAGGGTGGTCCAGGCGCCCCAGGACGTGGTAGTGGCGAGGAATGAGGAGGCCATGTTCCACTGTCAGTTCTCAGCCCAGCCACCCCCGAGCCTGCAGTGGGTCTTTGAAGATGAGACTCCCATCACTAATCGCAGCCGGTAAGGCATCTGGCAGGGGGCCTTCATGTACAGTGGTACAGGTTGTGTACTGCACATGTGTGTTCTCTAAAGGGGAATGAGATTCCTATCACAGACATGATAGGTCTGTACATGTATTACTTCAAATTTCCAGCAGATGGCAGTAGAATGTCTTGCTGTTATAAAACGAGTCCAACAAAGGGAAGAGTCTCCAAGAAGGGCATCTTTTCCCAGTTCCCACAAAGACACTGTATGAGCTACTGGTGGCTCTACTTCTTTCTCCCTCCTCTCCTGTCCCTGTGGGTCTTCTGGGATGGGGGTAGAGACTGAGGGATGGAGGGGGCCTGGTGATCACAGTCTGAATAGGAAGGTCCTGAATGGCAAGGACACCTTATTAACACATGTGCACACATGCACACACAACGCGTGTTTTTTGGAGGAAGCAAACATTTCCAGAAGGTGCTGGGAGGTGGCAGCCCTTCTGTAGGGACTTCTGTCCTCACCCAGGCCTTATGAGAGCAGAGAGCACCTTTGCCATGCCAGGTGTGGCCGTGGACCTTGGGGATGTGGCTCCCTAGGCTAGGGGCTTGGGTCCCACCTGGCGTCAGCCCTGAGGACATCATCAGTAGTTGATCTGGTATGGCCAAGGGGCTTCTGATTGCTGGAGCTGGGTGCCTGAGCAGCAGGCTTATCTTGACCCGGCGGGAAGGGGGCCCCTCCGTCTCTGCAGTTGCACATTGTTGATTACTTGCTGTCTCTTCCCTGCACTGCTGCTCACCTTGCCGCCCCAAAAGCCGAGTCTCTTGTAGTTAGAATACACACTCACACATGCACTTGAACACACACACCAACGTGGAGTGTCAGCTTCCTTCTCTCTGCCCTGTTCCTGGCCGACTGCTTCCTACATCTCTGACCTTTGTGGGACAAGGTTCCCTGGCATTTCCCTGCAGAAGTAGGCCTGTGGGCCACTTCCTCCACATAGCACTCTTTCCCCTCCGCAGTCCCCCCCACCTCCGCAGAGCCACGGTGTTTGCCAACGGGTCCCTGCTGCTGACCCAGGTCCGGCCACGCAATGCAGGGCTCTACCGCTGCATTGGCCAGGGGCAGAGGGGCCCTCCCATCGTCCTGGAGGCCACGCTTCATCTGGCAGGTGAGTGTCTGGGTCTGGGGTGCCGAGGGCGGGGCTGCTTTCAGCTTTGTTGGCATGTAGAGATTTAGGCTCCTGTTTGCCCTTGGAGGGAAGCTTGGAGGGCAGAGGTAGGAAGAGGATGCTGGGGTTAGGGAGAGAAGATGCTGAGGGTTGTAGGGGAGGGTTTGTGCTGGAAAGGCTTGCCATGGGAGAACATTCGGTACGCTGAGACACTAATCAGCTGTTTGCTCACACCTCTGCAGAGATTGAAGACATGCCACCATTTGAGCCACGGGTGTTCACAGCTGGCAGCGAGGAGCGTGTGGCCTGCCTGCCCCCCCAGGGTCTGCCGGAGCCCAGTGTGTGGTGGGAGCACGCAGGTGTCCGGCTACCCGCCCACGGCAGAGTCTACCAGAAGGGCCATGAGCTGGTGTTTGCCAGGACTGCCGAGAGCGATGCTGGTGTCTATACCTGCCACGCAGCCAACCTGGCTGGTCAACGGCGACAGGAGGTCAACATCACCGTGGCCAGTGAGTACCTTTGCTCTGAAGGTCGAGGTGAGATGGAGGGGAGCCCAGGTCCTAGGAGGTCTTGGGCTCTGGGTGTGATAGACAGAGGCTTCCGTGGTGTTCACCCAAGGCCCTGTCAGCTCTGGGCCCTGCGGTCTGGGAATCAGTCAGCTGCTGGGAGGTGATGTTGGAGTAGACAGTGGAGAGCCAGGCACAGAGGTTGGAGTGACAGCCCTCACAGAAAATGATCCTCTGGCTTCAGAGGAAAGAGCAATGGACTGGGAGTCTAGAGTTCCCAATGCTAAGTGACTATGGGTAGCAAGTCACCCGCCTTGCTGGGGTTCAGTTTCCTTATCCATAAATTGGGGCTAATAGCTCCCTGCCTACCCTACAAGATGGTCAGCAAGATCAAATGAAGTGGATAAAAGAGATTTTTCTCTTTTGGGAAGGTGATGGTGGACAAAGTTATAGGTGATTATAATTTTATTTGTCATTCTTTCTAAATTTGTACAATGGACATACTACTTGTGAAATAAGAGGAGGAAAAAAGCAATAGATATGACGAAGAGAGCATTGGACAAGTGCGCCAGGTGATGCTTATGCATGCAGAAGGTGGAGGATGCCGGCTTTGATCCGTCATTCAACAGGCACTGAGTGAGCCGTGCCCTGTTCCCTGCACTGTGCTCTGAGGAGGAGGCCTGTGAAGTTAGAGAGAGAGTGCATGATGCGGGCAGGGCTAGATCCAGGTGCGGAGGGGTAGGGGATAGAGTTTGCAGGAGGGAGAGCTCCGTGACTGCCTTCCGTCAACAGATTTATCAAGTGCCTTCTTTGTGCTCGGCGCTGCTCCCAGTGCTGGGAATGCAGGAGTGAGCAAAGTGGACAAAAATCCCTCCCCTTGTGGAGCGCATAGTCTAAAAGGAACAACAAAGCAAACAGGAAAAACAGTTGAATGAGCAAGTGTATAATTTTAAGTGGCAGTAGAGCCATGAAGAAAAATAAAATAGGGTAAGTGACAGAGAGATGGCATGAGGGCCAGGGGGAGTTTAGAGAAGACTTTTCTAGAAGGTGGCATTTGAGTTGATACTTAAATTAAGGAAGGAGCCGTGTGGATAGGTCCTGAGACAGAAATGGGCTTGTATCTTGGAGGGACGGCAGTACCCTGTGTGGCTGGAGTTGAGTGAGTGATGATGAGTGTGGTTGAGTTGTCTGAGAGGTAGAGTGAGATCTTGGGGGCCCTGTAAGAACAGAGTAGGGACTGTGACTTGTATTCCCAGTGTATCTGTTATCTGCTGCTGCATAACAAACCACTCGGAAACTTAGTGACTTGAAACAATAGCCATTGATTTGTGTATGATTCAATGGGCAGGGTTCAGCTGGGACGCTCATCAGCCCTGTCGGCAGGGCTGGGCTCACGCGTGTGTTTGCAGTCAGCCCATAGGTCGGCTGGTGGCTGGCTGTTCTCTGATATCCTTACTCACATGCCTGCCAGTTGACTGAGGATGTTGACCAGGGTGCCTTGGTTCTTTTTCATATGGCTGCTCCAGCAGGCTAGCTCAGGCTTCCTCACCTGGGGACTGGGTCCCAAGAGTGCTAAAGTGGAGGTTGTAAGGCTTCTCAAAGCGTTGACTTAGAAGTTGCACAGTGTCACTTCCAGTGTATTCTGTAGGACAAGGCAAGTCACAGGCCACCCAGAATCCAGACAGTAGAGACACAGACTCTGCCTTTTTTTTTTTCAGTTGTTTTTTTTTTGAGGAGGATTAGCCCTGAGCTAACATCTGCTGCCAATCCTCCTCTTTTTGCTGAGGAAGACTGGCCCTGAGCTAACATCTGTGCCCATCTTCCTCTACTTTATACGTGGGATGCCTGCCACAGCATGGCTTGCCAAGCGATGCCCTGTCCGCACGCGGGATCTGAACCAGTGAACCCTGGGGCACTGAGGCAGAACATTCAAACTTAACCGCTGTGCCACCGGGCCGGCCCCTAGACTCTGCCTTTTGGTGGGAAAGGGGCATCATCACATTACAAAGACTCAAGAGATGGGAGGACCGTTAATGGCCATCTTTGCTAACAATCTCCCACACACAGTTGGAGGACGGGAAGTCCTTGCGGGGTTTTAAGTCGGAGAGTGGCTTTTCACAAGATTACTCTGGCTGTTCTGAGAAGACCAGATTGTTAGGGGCAAGAGTCTAAGGAGGGAGACTAGTTAGTAGATGACCATCATCATCCAGGGGAGATGTTGAAGGGGCTTGAACAGAGCTGGGAGCAGTGGAGGTGAGAGGTGGTCGTATTCCAGATATATTTTGGAGCTAAGGTAGGCAGGGTTTGTGTAGAATGAATGTGATGGGGGGACTGAGAAGTCAGGCTAGATTTTTGGCTTCTGTCATTGGCTTGATGGTGGGCCATTTACTGAGATAGGGAAAACTGGGATGAGCAGGTTTGGGGAGAAATCAACTGTTCTCTTTTGCACATATAAAGCTTGAGATGCCTATTAGATATCCAGTTGGAGATGCCGGTAGATAGTAGATGTGCAAGTCTGAAGCTCACGGGGGGAGGTCAGGAGTCAGGGTATAGGTTTGGGAATCATCCACTCAGACGGTATTGAAGGCCGTGGACCGAATGAAATCATTCAGGGAATGAGTATGGCTAAAACAGAGCAGAGATCTGAGGACCAAGCCTTGGAGCATTATGGGGTAATGAAAAGAACAAGGATTTTGGAGTCATACAGACTGGAGTTTTCAATCCTCTCTCTATCATGTATTATTAGCAAATGGCCATTACTTCTTTGAACCTCTGTCTTCTCAGCTGTAAAATGGGTACAGGAATATATCCCTTGGGGGTTTGTTGTGACCATTAACAAAGATAATACTTGGAAGATGCTGGCGCCTGGGGCTTCACTAAGGCGTAATTGCTGCAGTTATTACCAGAGCAGACAGGGTTTCTGGACTCAGGGCCTAGCAGGGTATGAGAATTTCTTGGATTTGGATCCTTTGGTTTTGCAGACATGTTAATCAACTTTCTGTTTCGTCCCCGTCTCTCTAGCTGTGCCCACGTGGCTGAAGAAGCCCCAAGACAGCCAGCTGGAGGAGGGCAAGCCAGGCTATTTGCATTGCCTGACCCAGGCCACACCCAAACCCACAGTCATCTGGTACAGAAACCAGATGCTCATCTCGGAGGTGAGAACGAGGATCATTGCTGGTGGATGGGGCGAAAGCCCCTCCTGCTGCTGACTGTGCTCACACCCGTAGCACTCTTTCCCCAGAGGCTGTCCCCAGGGGGATGTTGGTAGGGGTTCAGGCTGAGACCTTTCCTGATCACATCTTGTGTTGCTGTAGGACTCGCGGTTCGAGGTCTCCAAGAATGGGACCTTGCGCATCAACAGCGTGGAGGTGTACGATGGAACGTGGTACCGCTGCGTGAGCAGCACCCCAGCTGGCAGCATCGAGGCCCAAGCCCGCGTCCAAGTGCTGGGTGAGCTGGCATGTGTGAGGAGAGCACTTTGCCTGGCAGGCAGGAGAGTAAAGGGGAAGGGTCAGCAGGGTCCAGGGTCTTCAGGCCTGTAGCAGCCTGTCTAGCTTCCTCAATTCCTCCTCATTCACCCACCTACCCTTCCTCTCCTGAAACAGAGAAGCTCAAGTTCACACCACCGCCCCGGCCGCAGCAGTGCATGGAGTTTGACAAGGAGGCCACAGTGCCCTGCTCAGCCACAGGACGAGAGAAGCCCACTATTAAGTGGATACGGGCAGGTGGGAACTGTGTGGGCAGGGGTTGGGGGGCAGGCAGGATAGTCCACTGGTCAGATGTGTGTGTGTCTGAGGACCAGCTGAGCGCCCAGTTCCATGCCAGGAACTGTGGGATAGACGAGAAATGTAGGGCCGATTTGTAGTCCAGTTAGGAAGAAAAAAGCCAGACACAAAAGAGGTCAGATTACAGCATTAGACAACATAGAAGATGACTCAAGGCAACAAGTGATTGGATTGGTCCAGACGGTGCTGTAAGGTCCTCCCTCCCCCTTTTCAAAATAGTCATCCTTTCCGACATATGAGCAACACGGGCTCCTTTAGAACATTTTGGGAGAAAAAAATGCATAACCCCACCATCCATCATCATTAGATTTGTTCCTTTTTCTTTTTCTATGTGTATCTTTTTGTTTTTACATAGCAATTTTATTATACAACTGTATGTACATATAATTTTCACTTATTTAACTTACATGAGTAAGTCACCCTTACTATAGAAATAAAAGATGCAGATAACCGTATGTCATTTTATATCCTCTTTTACTTAACGTTATCTAGCATTTCTCCATGTTTTTATACATAAACATTGGTTTTGATGATTGCAATAATATTCCAATGATTGGATTCACTTAATTTACTTAAGTATTCTCTAAATGTTAGAGATTTGGGTTGTTAACCATTGTCCTTCCCTCTCTCTGTCTTTCTCTCTCTCTCTGTCTTTTTATTGCTGCAATAAACGTCTTTAAGCCAAAGTTTTTTCTGGATTTGGGTTTATTTCCTTTGGGAAAGATTCCCAGAAATGGAATAATTATGTATAAAAGGCTATGCACATTTTTACAACCCTTGATGCTGATTGCCAAATTGTTTTTAAAGGACTGGACTAGTTTTTACATTGCCATTAACAGTGAGAGTTGGAGAGTAGGGTTGTAGGTTTTGAGGAGGACGTGGGCTCTCTGCTCAGGTGGTCTGGGGAAGCTTTCTGTGGGAGGTTCAAAATAGATTTGAAGCCTGGGATGGTGGCAAAGAGCTGGAATGGGTTCTAGGAGTGAGAAGTGACAGGCAGTAAGGATGAGAACAAGGCAGATCGAGGGCCAATCAGAAGTCCAGCTGGCAGAAGTGATGTTATATAGGACAGTGGAAGGAAGTGAGACTGAAGAATTGGAAAAGGGGTTAATAATGGGGGACTCCCAATGCCTGGCTCAGGAGTTTGGACTTTCTGCATAGTCAGGAGCAACAACGTGTTTTTGAGTTGATGTGAGTGAGTGAGGACATTGCCAGCCACTCATGTAACTGGTCAATCCCACAATTCCCTTTGTTGCCCCTGTAGATGGGAGCAGCCTCCCAGAGTGGGTGACAGACAACGCCGGGAACTTGCACTTCTCCAGGGTAACCCGTGATGATGCCGGCAACTACACTTGCATCGCCTCCAATGGTCTGCAGGGCCAGATCCGCGCCCACGTCCAGCTCACTGTGGCAGGTGTGACTGGGGCAGGGCCTGGGGCTGGGGCTGGCAGGCCCCTGCTAACCCCCTTGCACACTGCTCACTGCCCCTTGCTGGGCTCTTCCCATCCAGTGTTCATCACCTTCAAAGTGGAGCCAGAGCGCACGACTGTGTACCAGGGCCACACAGCCTTGCTGCGGTGTGAGGCCCAGGGGGACCCCAAGCCACTCATTCAGTGGAAGGGCAAAGACCGCATCCTGGACCCTACCAAGCTAGGACCCAGGTAGGGCCATCTCCCTCCCACACCACCCCACTTCTCCTGCAGCCCGGTCTCCCCAGGAGCTGGCAAGGTGGGCAGTGTTGTGGCTTCTCTCCTGGCAGGATGCACATCTTCCAGAACGGCTCCCTGGTGATCCATGATGTGGCCCCTGAGGACTCGGGCCGCTACACCTGCATCGCGGGCAACAGCTGCAACATCAAGCACACAGAGGCCCCCCTCTACGTTGTGGGTAGGGGCAGGGAGGGGTGTCCTGCACAGGAAGCTGTGGGGCCAGACTTATTCTCATCTTTGTACGCATTGGCCCCCTGTACACAGAAGTCACTTACTCCGTTTTTGTGGTGGGGACCGGGATCCAGCTGTGCCCCCCACCGTGCATAGCTCAGTTTCAGGTTCCTTGCCTAAAGCTGTGCTGTCACTTATATAACATTCCACAGCGGGGGGTGAGCTGTTGGGGGAGAGCTCTTGTCCTAAAACTTTTCCTCCCAGGTCCCCTGCAGTATCCACACATCTCCCTGGGTGGGCGGGGAGGGCATCAAGTTGGGATGCAGCAGGACAAGCTCCCTTTGCCCTGGAGGCCCAGAGAGGATGATATTTCAGTTAAAAGGCCCTGACTAGGGTCAAGAACTCTCCTGACTATGCCTTTGGAGGTGTTATTTCCTCTGCAGGGGCTTGTTTCACATAAGATGAAAGTAGTTTAAATGAGAAGTTCTCAAGCTTTTTTGGTTTAGCGGCAGAAGTGTTTTTCTAGACAAAGTCTCACATGGGACTTTAAATGGATCACAGTGAGGTGATGAGGCCCCTTGGTTGAAGCCAGTGGGTGTGTGTGGGAGTTGGGGGATCTTGCATGGTCTCCTCTTTGGACCTCTCTCCCTCAGCTCCCCAGTGACTCCTGGCACCTCTTTCTCCGTGGGACCCTAGGCTTTTGAAAGCCCCTGGATTAGAAGATCCTTCTAAACCACATTTCTTGAAAGACCTGCTCTGTGCTAGGCAGGGTCTGGGATTCTAAACCAAAACTTCCCACACGCTGCTCTTCAGGGCCTGGCTCATGATATCAAGTCACTTAGGAAGCTTGTTAAGAAACAGTGTAGGTTTGCGTTGGCACCCTGACAGGTGTGTTTTCTATGTGTATCACCGGCCTCATGTTCAGATGCACAACCAACTTGGGAATCACTGGCCCCATGTCCCTCAGAGCTCCATATGACCTTGGTAGGGCCTGAGGACCTGGCCTTTATTGAAGCCAGTGACAGTGATGACCCTCCCTGGGTCTCTGTCTTGGTCAGGCCATCGAGTGTCTGGGAGTTTGTCATACGTGCGTGGTGGGGAGGGGCTGGAAGAGAAGTAGCGCTGGGTTTGCTTCAGTGGCCCCCGTTGCAGACCTCCCTGTGTCTCTCTCAGACAAGCCTGTGCTGGAGGAGTCCGAGGGCCCAGGCAGCCCTCCTCCCTACAAGATGATCCAGACCATCGGGCTGTCCGTGGGCGCCGCCGTGGCCTACATCATCGCTGTGCTGGGCCTCATGTTCTACTGCAAGAAGCGCTGCAAAGCCAAGCGGCTTCAGAAGCAGCCTGAGGGCGAGGAGCCAGAGATGGAGTGCCTCAATGGTGAGGGGCCCCTGGAGGTGGGAGGCAGTGCCAGTGTGCGGGTGCTGAGCGCCCTCCCACGGCCACAGAGGAGAGAGCTGTGGCGCTGGGTAGCTGGGGCCAGAGCAGAGCTGTCCACCCCTAGCTGGAAGCCTATAGAGTTGGCTGATTCCCAGGGCCTTGGCTTTTGAGGAGCCTGGCTCAAGACTCCCCCATCGGAGCCTCTTGGGCCAGCTTCCTACGTTTTCCTGCCTTCTCCTCCCCAGAGCACTGAGCCTCAGATAGAATTAGTACATGTAGTCATGTTTCTGTTACACATCTTTGTCTCCCCACTTTAGTCTTTGAGTTCCCCCAAGGGCAGTCTGTCTGTTTCCCTCTTCCTGCCCTCCCTCTCCCCCGACTGGGAGCTCCCTGGGGCATTGCTGGGTCTACCCTATTAGCTTAGGGGTTCAGGAGCAGGGCCTGGTCTCCCTCATCTGATTTCCCCTTTGTGCCTGTTTAGAGCTTTGCACATAGGAGGCCCTATGAAAGCAAAAACCCTTCTGTCAATATGGTGTCCAGGGACCCAGGATTCAGATGACACATGCAGTTTGTTCCATTTCAGAGGTCGTAATCAGTTGCACCAATAAGTGGTCCTACCCTAAGGGATGTCTGTCACCCTGGCCTCCAGCCCCATCAGTTTATCTGTTGCATTGGCCCTTTGGTGTGGAACACCGGGATTGGACCCATTTGGTGGAAGTGGGGGTTTGGAGGAGAGAACTGAGGTTCCCATGGTGGCCAGAGTGTCAGGTCTCATCTTGACCCTCCCCCTTGCTCCCTCTTCCCAGGTGGGCCTTTGCAGAATGGGCAGCCCTCAGCAGAGATCCAGGAGGAGGTGGCCTTGACCAGCTTGGGCTCTGGCTCCGCAGCCGCCAACAAGCGCCATAGCACGAGTGATAAGATGCACTTCCCACGGGCCAGCCTGCAGCCCATCACCACACTGGGTGTGTTGGCTTGGCCACCGCTGTCCCTGCTTAACTACGGGCTACCCCTTCAGTCTTGAGGCTGGATTAGGGCAGTGGCTCTGAAGTCCCTGAAACCTAGAACCCTAGAGATGGAGGGGAGTGTGGGGGATCGAATCCAGTGTGTCCCCAGTGCCTCTCTCAGACCCTACTTCACAGATTTCATCATTTCTGCGTATTATTTACTTGAGGTTTTCTTTAGATTGACTCCCTCCTCCTTTTCTTTTTAACTTAACTAAGGTTAGCTTTATTCTAGGAAAAAATGAGAAATTTAAGTTTTTTCTGAGCACACATTAAAATGTGAAGACATGCTTATCATGAGCCACCTAAAATTCTCGTACAAACCACCCTTTAGAAAAGGCTGACTATGAATCCCACCCCTTTATTTTACTGTTGGAGACCGGGAAGCCCAGGGCGGGCTGGGGGGGTGGTTTGCTCAGGGTCACACAGCAGAACCGGGGCCACTGCCCAGTCCAGGTGAGTAGGGTGCAGCAAAGACTCCCCATGGTGTGACATAGGCAGGCGAGGCATCTCCCCAAGTCAGGGGCTCCCTCTTCTTGGGTGAAGGCAGCTGGCTGACTCAGAGCTGTACCCACAGGGAAAAGTGAGTTTGGGGAGGTGTTCCTGGCGAAGGCACAGGGCTTGGAGGAGGGGGTGGCGGAGACCCTGGTGCTTGTGAAGAGCCTGCAGAGCCGGGACGAGCAGCAGCAGCTGGACTTCCGGAGGGAGTTCGAGATGTTTGGGAAGCTGAACCACGCCAACGTGGTGCGGCTCCTGGGGCTGTGCCGGGAAGCAGAGCCCCACTACATGGTGCTGGAGTATGTGGACCTGGTATGCTGTTCGTGGGGGACCTGGGCGTCTCGGGCAGGGCAGTGCCCTGATGGTGGGGGTGGGAGCGGGGCACCATGGGAATCTTGTCTCATGCAGTCTCAGCCGAGACCTTGGCCACCTGCTGTTGCTGCCTTGCGACTGGCGCTCCACTTCCTGCCCCCCCAGCTCTCTAACACCTGACTTTCCTTGATCAGTGCATCTTTCCCATCAGCCAGTCCTGTCTGTGTCTGGGGCTTGGTCCCAAGTTCTTGCTGGCTTCGCACTCTGTACACTGCATGGTTGCCTTCCAGGTCTTCTTCCCTGACTCTGGTTTTCTTTGGTTTGTTTTTTCCCGTTCTCCCCAGTGCTTGTCACCCCTTGAGGATAAACTTATCAGAACCTGGATTTCCTTCCTTCCCAGCATCCCATACGTTGGAGGCCCCGTGTTAGCCTGGTCACTAGCCTTCTCCTTCCACTCCAGTTGTCATGCCCAGATCTGCCCCTTCATTCCCTGACTGATCCCGGCCTAGTCCCTTTGGTTCTCAGACTGCTGCTTATCCAGTCCCCGAGCTCAGGAGCAGGAAGGCGTGATCCTTAATCTTTCTACTAGCACGTGTTTCTGCTGCTGGTGTTCTCCCTGTTTGTTCCTGTCTGTTAGATAATAAACCCCTGGAGGGCAGGAGTTTCCTCTTAGGGGTCCCAGAAGACAGAGGGTGGGGACTGTGTTTTCCTCTTGGCTCCCTGAGGGCAGGGGCTTTGTCACCCACGTGTCTGGGGGCTCCTCTGAGGGTAGGAAGGACAGTCCTCTTCTCTTTGGGACTGGGAGAGTTTCCAGGAGACATCTCCTATGTGTTTAATTCCTGCTGGACTTTTCCCCTGGGAAGGGGGCCCAGTCTGGGGTGAGTGTTCAGGTCAGGGCTTCTCACCACCTGCCCGGGTGGGAACCCCATGCGCACCTGCTTGGTTTGATGCTTTGGAGATAATGACTGGGCTTGGACCTGACAGAGACACTTGGCTGTTCCCTCAGGGAGACCTCAAACAGTTCCTGAGGATTTGCAAGAGCAAGGATGAAAAATTGAAGTCACAGCCCCTCAGCACTAAGCAGAAGGTGAGGACAGGAGGGAGAGGTCCCCAGGGTGGGCCAGGAGCAAGGGCAGTCATTTGACAGGTCCCCTGATGGAGAGCTCCCTGTGGGCCAGGCCCTGTGGTAAGTACTTTACAGGGGTTGTCTCACTGATCACAGCGATCCTGAGTATATGTTGCTATCCCCATTTTGCAGATGAAGAAACTGAGATTTAGAGACCTTAAGTGACTTGCCCAGATCGTGTAGCCTGCAGGTGGCTTTGTATTGACGTGTTGCTTTCACGTAGAAGAGCTGCTCTTTGCCTCTGCTGCCCGAGCGGGCCCTCTGCTCCCCTGCAGTGAGCACAGGGCTGCAGGAGCAGCAAGTAGCTGCTGCTCTAGGGGCCTGCTGGGCTGGGTGTGGCCCCCAGCATGGAAGACTCTCCTGTGACTGGGCTGCCCACGTTTCACCTGCTGTTGTTTTCACACTTTCACCCTCACGTGGGCTGTGGGCTGCTCAGCCTTTCCTTCCGGTTCTCCTCTGCCTTCTGGGCAGAGGGTTGTTCTGAGTACAGAGCCCTGGCTGGGCCCCACGGTGGAGCAGACCTAGGGTGAAACAGTGAAGAAGGGAAAGCTTGCCTCCTATCCTCTGCCCACCTTAGCCATCCCTTCTGGAGCCCAGCTCCTCCTGTCCCCAGCCTCCTCCCCTCCCCTCTGAAATGGACCCACCTCCTTCCACGTGACTGGACACTCTGCTTTCAAGCTGACAGCAGTCACTTTATAAACCAATCAGAGCTCAGGGCGAGTAGGCAGAGACTGCTAGGGCCCTCCCGCGCAGGGGACAATTCTGTGCCCTGTAGGCCTGTGACCCAGCTCACAGACTCTGGGGGCAGGGCAGAAGGGCATGGCCAGTTGATCAGTCAGGCAAGTGGGACCCTGGCTGCCCTGATCTCTGGGGAAGCAGCTCTGCCACCTTCAGACTGACCTCCTCCCATTACAGGCGAATTTACCAAGTTCACCAGATCACCAGAGCTGGCCTCCCAACACTGTGTCCCTGCTTTCATCTCTGAGAAGCCACAGGACTGTCTGCAGTGGCTGTAGATGGGAAGCCACAGGACAGGATGTGCTACTCCAGCTAGGTGGGATGGCAGGACCCCAGAGCTCACAAATCAGGACACATATGGAGCCAGCAACTCTTTAGTGAGTCAGCCATGGCCCTCAGGGCCCTTGGGGATGCGAAATTGAAACTGCCGGGCATCCTCGGGGCGCTTAGGATCTAGTCAGGGAGCTTGGGTAAATGAGTATCGCATGTGCTTTGCAGGCTTCAGGTATGACACAGAGAGCAAAAGAAAGACGTAAATTAAGAGAAGTTGAAGACAGCTGTGTCCTTGAGGTGGACAGATGGTGTCATTAACAAAGAAGGTTTCCTGGTAGAGAAAGCCGTTTGAGTTCAGTTGTCAAGGACAGGAAGTAGTTGAATGGCAGGAAGAGGATGGCTTCAGGGGAGAGGGGAGTCAAGGTAGGTTTCTCTGGCTGGGACAGGGAATGTAGACGGGCTGACAGGAAGTCACTTACCTCCGTCACGTGACCTGAGGGACTATTTGGCTGCAAGTCATCACCACCTTTGCTAGAGATCTCTCCTAGCCTCTTTTTTTTTTTTGCTAGAGCATCTTAGATTTGATGGAGGAACTTCAATAAGTTGAGTTCCATACTCTCCAAGGACAATATTCTGCATCAGATGGGGGTTAAAAAAAAAAAAAAAAGCTGGTTTTTTTTCTGGACCGTGTGTCAGACTGAGGAAATCAGAATATCTGAGAGTGGGCTCTGAGGACCTGCATTTTCCAGCCAAGCTTTCCAGCTGATTCTTAAGCTCATTAAAGTTTGAGGAGCCTAGTGTAGGATAGTAGCTTTGAAATGTGTTTTGATTAGGATCGCCTATAAGAAATGCATTTTATGACCCAGTGCACACATACACGACACACACACACACACACACACAACTAAAGTTAAACATTCGTGACACTATATTTGATGCACTTGATGTTTCCTATCCTTTTTTTTTTAACTCACTAAATTGATTTTGAGACTCATGTGGGTCTTGATCAGTAGTTTGAAAAATACTGCTTTTTGAGGATTCCATGAAAATGAAAATTCTTAGGGAAGATAGATTAAAACATGTAGATACTTTCTTGTGCTAATAATTTAGGGAGTTGCTGTGTCTCTTTATGTTCCTAGGATCCTGGGGGAATGGGAGGAGGAAAAGTTAAGTCTTTAAAGGGAGGTGGAGTGGTAAGCAGGGTGCTCCCTGGCCAAACAGAGCTGGAACGAGGTGTGGGTGGGCCTGGGGAAGCTGCAAGAGGATTCCAGGACAGCAGTGGGATAATGCTAGAAATCAGAGACACGGGCCCTGGGTGTGGGCATAATGGTAGGTAATGCTTATTAGAGTATCTGATAAGATGATGGAGATTCTGAAGTCAGAGGACTGTAACCTGTGATTTCTCCTGGGATCACCTGTGAGCTAATGACAGGCGAGGAGCAGGGTCAGCTTAGCACACCTGGTGGACAGCGCCTCATGCACTCAGATGTCTTGATGGGAAACAGCCCGTTGTGATAAGAACTCAGTAGTGTCACAATGAGTTAGCCAGAACTTGGGCAAACCCTTGGATTGTGGGAGTTGGAAAGGAAGGGGTGGGTCTGGTCTTTACCAAAGAGCAGGTCTTTATAACAGTATTTGGAAATAATCCTGTGGCCATCTGATGGCGTCTTGCCCAGTATTAGGGAAACACTTAAGTAGCTTGGGCCTAACAGAATTCCCTTTTACTGCCCTTGCTTAGCCAGTATTTCCAGAAGCTCTGCCTCACTGGAACGATAGCAAGTTAGTCACCATGCCAAGTCCACTCTCTTCTGTTTCCCTTGACCAGCAGTAGACTGTTTCGCTTGGAGCCAGACCAAAGAGAGCAGGCTGAGGAGAATGGCAAGTCTGATGAGGACGCATTACAAAAACCTCTGTCTGCCTCGGACAGATATCCGGGCAAGGCCGGATGATGCCTTGGGGTTTTGAAGCCTGAAGTAGAGCCTGTCCATTTATGATGACCACTTCAATGGTCATCTGGCCCTTTTCCCACCAGTGACAGGCACTTGGGGCCTTCTGAAGATGGTGGTCTGGGGGCTGTTTGGGGGGTGTGGCCTCTACTTTTCCTTGGAGACCCAGTACAGGCTCTGCCTCCAGGGGACGGGGTTGGGGGGGGGGCCGTCTCGGTAATCCTGGCAGACCTGTTCGCCTGACCGCTTCTTTAACCCTCTTCACTGGTTGCACAAATTTGGTTGGAAGCTGTCTGGAGAGTTTGTGTCTTCACTTTTGACAAAGAAAATGCACCAAGAAGATGAGATTTTCCTAGCTCTCGATGGTATCCTTCGTTCAGGGCCTCTGCATGTGCAGCGTCAGTCCATACCTATTTGGTGGTGGTTTGGATCAGTGCTGTCTAGTGGCACTTCCGGCGATAATGGAGATGTTCCATTTCTGTGCTGTCCAGTGCGATAGTCATGAGCCTCCTTTGGCTGCCGAGCACTTAGAATGTGGCCTAGAGTGACTGAGGAGTGAATTTTTAATTTTATGATTTTTTTTTTTTTTTGGAGGAAGATTAGCCCTGAGCTAACTACTGCTAGTTCTCTGCTTTTTTGCTGAGGAAACCTGGCCCTGAGCTAACATCGTGCCCATCTTCCTCTACTTCATATATGGGACGCCTACCACAGCATGGCGTTCCAAGCAGTGCCATGTCCACACCCAGGTTCCGAACCGGTGAACCCCGGGCCACTGAGAAGCGGAACATGCGAACTTAACTGCTGCGCCACCGGGCCGGCCCCCATAATTTTATGAAGTTTTAATTAATTTAAATAGCCACACGGGGCTGGGAGCTACTGTTTTGGACAGCATAGGTTTAGACCATTATTTTTTAAACTTTTTTGACTGAGAGCCACAGTAGCAAAAAGCACATTTTACATCACAACCCTATACATATATGTATATGTATATACATAGGCATATGTATATATTTAAAAAATGAAAAGAGTTTCATGAATGATACTTACCCTTACTATGATGGACTCTGATGTTTTCTATTGTTTTTTTTTTGCTTTTTTAATGCTGGTTCAGAGTCACTAAATTGGTTTCACAACATACTAATAGGTTGTGACCACAGTTAGCAAACCACCAGTGGAGGCAATGGGGCTGCAGGGATGTCACTGGCCAGTGCATAGGCTGAGAAGACCTGTCTTTGGAGTGGCCTTCTCCCAATGTTTAGGCTCGGCTCCTCTGCCACCTTCCTGTGACCCTGGGAGCCAGGCCAGTAAAGCTGCTTGGAGCCAGCCAGGGATGCTGAAGGGCCAGTCTGTAGCCACTTGCCACCTCTGGGCTCAGCGATGGGCACACAGCCCTTCCTGTGCCCCCATCACCAGTGCCATGACACAGGAGAGGCAGCTGCGGTGTTGAGGAAAGAGCCAGGCTTTGACATTCGGCTGGTGCAGAGCCTTGTGTGGGACCGTGGGCCGAGCTGAGGGTGAGCCCCACCTCACAGGGTGCATGGAAGAGAGGCAGCTGGTGTAGCTCAGAGCCCTGCACACAGGAGGTGCTCAGCAAGGGTTGCGGTCCCCTTCTCTCTGATTGGTGGCCTCTCACTGGCATTAGGTAACTTGGCAGCAGCCCCTCCACCACTCCCATTCACTTTGTTTCCTTTTTGAACTTCAGGAACATAGAATCAGCCATAATCTTCAGTTAATCTATGACATACCCTCATTATTGGTACACATGTGCCTCCTTTAACTTAGTTATTGTTGTTTTTTTTTTTTTTTTTTTTTTAAAGATTTTATTTTCTCCTTTTTCTCCCCAAAGCCCCCGGTACATAGTTGTATATTCTTCGTTGTGGGTTCTTCTAGTTGTGGTATGTGGGACGCTGCCTCAGCGTGGCCTGATGAGCAGTGCCATGTCCGCGCCCAGGATTCGAACCAACGAAACACTGGGCCGCCTGCAGCGGAGCGCGTGAACTTAACCACTCGGCCACGGGGCCAGCCCCAGTTATTGTTGTTTTTTAATGTGTGTGTGTGTTTGGTAAGTTTTATTTTGATATTTCAAACTTAAAAAAGCGTACATAGTTCAAGGAACACCTGCAAACTCTTTATCTAGATTCACTTGCTTCCATTTTGCCCCATTTTATCATTCTCTCTCTCTGTGTATATTAGTATTTGTTATGCTTTTTTTCTGAACCATTTGAGATAAGTGTGAGGCCAACTTTGGGCCTTTGCAGTCAGATATGTATCAAATGATACCTCGTTGGACCTTGATTTGTGTTTCCTTGATCACTGGTGATATTTGTTACTAGCCACATTCTTACCATCTCTCCACGATTTGCATTATGTGGTGGGTGACTTCTCTCCTGTGGATCCTGAGAGTGAGTCTGTATGCCAGAAGAAGCAGACAGCTGGCCCGTAACTTGTTAAATCATCTTCCCCAGGGACCTCTTTGCAATTTTTGTCTGCCGTGTTTTTATATACAAGGAAATGCTAGAGGTCCCACGTGTCCTTGGGTGGTTGCTTCCAAGGTTTGGATACGGCTATAGAGGTGAGGGGGCCCTGGGTCTTTACAAGCGCTCTCCTGGCGCTCGCATTTTACCTCTGTTCTGTGGACCACCTTCTCCCAGGTGGTGGCGAATATAGTCTTTGTCTCCCTGCTAGACTGCCCTCTCACCAGGAGCCCTGTCTTGCCATCCCTGTTACATTCCACCAGCACCCAGTTGTGTTTGGCATACATAGATGCTCAATTAATATCCAGTGCATTGATATAGACTTTTAAAGTGTTAATATAATTACAATTATATGTAGTTACATAAGGTATTATATGTAATAAATTCACATGGCTCAAAATTTTTAAAAAGGTACCAGTGAAAAATCTCCCTAACTCTCCTACACTTTGGAAAGTAGTTTGGCATTATTTTGTAGAGCTAGAGATACTCATAGTCCATGACCCACACCGAGATATCTTAGAGAAACTCCTGTGTACACTCTTAAGAATATTCATAGCTGCACTGTTCTTAAAATCCCCAAATGGGGAAAAAAACCAAATACCCATTGGCATTAGAAGGAATAAATTATGGTATGTTCATGATGAAAAAGAACCCTGGATGTGAGCTTTACGATTATTTGTGAAAATAGACATATGTCTTATAAACTTTCCTATATGTAGTTCACAATTTAAAAGAATATAAACCAAAAATTCCCCTACCTTTCTACTTTTTGGCCTCCAGCTCCCCTCCTTGGAGGCAACCGGTCGTGTGTGTATCTACTTACACACATATTTTATATGTATATGTATGTCTGTCTGTCTTGTTTTTTATAAAACACAACTAGTAGAAAATTTGTAATTTTGAAGTTAAAAAAAAAAAAAAGGAACGACCCATAAAGATGTGAGCTCTGATTACTGCCCAGTTATTTTTCACCCAACAAGTGGTTACTGTGTTCTTCCTGTCCCATGTGCCACACACTTAATCTAGCACCTGCTGTGTGTCAGAGTGGTGCCAAGCACTTTATTTCATTCAATTCAGGTCTTCTGACAGCCCAGTGAGGCAGGTACTGTTATTATGCCCATTTTACAGATAAGGAAACTGAGGCTGTTGTGCCTTTGATTTGGGGCTTCCTAAGTATCACATGGGTGGCACCGAGACCCCACCAAGGGTTGTGTCGAGGGTGGGTGCCTCGATCCCCTAGTCGTAGGCTGCTCTGACAGGCCCCTTTCTCGCTTCAGGTGGCCCTGTGCACCCAGGTGGCCTTGGGCATGGAGCACCTATCCAACAACCGCTTTGTGCACAAGGACCTGGCTGCTCGCAACTGCCTGGTCAGCGCTCAGAGACAGGTGAAGGTGTCGGCCCTGGGGCTCAGCAAGGACGTGTACAACAGGTAGAAGGACGTGGGCGGGGTAGGGCGAGGGGCAGAGGGCAGATACACTTGGGTGGGAAAGGGCTTAGTGTCTGCTTAGTCCGAAGCTGGAGCGGGCAGAGCCTTCCCATCCTCTCTCCAGTGGTGCAGCAGCTTCCCAGCCAGTGGACCAAGGTCCCTGACACTTACAAATTTTCTCTAATGATAAAAATATTACAGGGGCTGGCCTTGTGGCATAGTGGTTAAGTTCATGTGCTCTGCTTAGGTGGCCCGGGGTTTGCAGGTTCGGATCCCAGGTGCGGACCTACCAGAGCTCATCAATCCACACTGAGGCGGCCTTCCACATACAAAAACAGGAAGACGGGCACAGATGTTAGCTCAGCAACAATCTTCCTCAAGCAAAAAGAGGAAGATTGGCAAAAGATGTTAGCTCAGGGCAAGCTTCCTCACACACAAAAAAATTACAAGCCTTTTTTCTTTTTTTAATAACGGTTTATGTGTAATTTATTCATATGGTTCCCTCTGTAAAGTACTGAATTCAGTAATTATTATTTTGAAGCCTAAGACGTGAAGCTCAGCACCCACGGCCAGAGATTGCTCTGGAATGCCTGCACACACTACATAGTGTCTCTGGGAACTTCCCCTCGAGTCACCCCAGTTCTGAGTCACCCCACTTCGTGGTTTAGTCATGATTGGTTTATCACTAGTAAAGCTCTTTAAATTTTCTTTCCATTTAACATGTCCATTTTTCACATTTTTTTAAGCCAATACAGAAAAGTATGTATGATAATTAGTGTTTTTTCTTATATTAACATTTAGGCAAAGTTTGATTCTTACTGGAATTTTTTAACCCTCAGACCCCATGTGGATGCCTCCAGACTTCATCCCGTATGCCTCTATGCTCAGCATAAATGTTACCCATTTCCGTAAATGCCTAGATGTAGAGGAGTTGGGTTCTAGCCCGGGTATGAGACCCAGACCTGGGATGAGGTTGGGATCTGGGCTGTGTCCCTCACCCCACCCCACCGCCATGGCTGTGTGGTTCTCTCCTGCAGTGAGTACTACCACTTCCGCCAGGCCTGGGTGCCCCTGCGCTGGATGTCCCCCGAGGCCATCCTGGAGAGCGACTTCTCCACCAAGTCTGATGTCTGGGCCTTCGGTGTGCTGATGTGGGAAGTGTTCACTCACGGAGAGATGCCTCACGGTGGGCAGGCAGACGACGAAGTGCTGGCAGGTAGGCAGCTATGTCTCCAAGGGACAATTCCAGATGTTCTCCAGGTGGAGAGCTTGCTCAGGGTCCTGGGGCCGGTTCAGCCCGTCTCCCCTCTCAGGCTTAGTATTAGCAGGTACACAGATATGGCCACTTCAGTGGTTAGAATACTGAAATACTTCCATGCTGGTTGGTAAATAGCCCTTGTCCCCAGTGCTCACTCCAGCCACTCTGATGCCTGCCCACTGACCCCACTGCAGCCCCCATGCATTGGCTACCTCCTGTGCTGTGTGGACCCTGCCCCACCAGCTAGAGAGAGCTAGGGCCGGGGGAGTCCCCTTTGGTTACAACATTGTTGCAAGTGTACTCCTTGAGTATTGACTCGCCCATACTGGCCAGCGCCCCCTAGAGTCTCCCTCGTGTGGTTGCTTGTGGGAACTGCAGGCTCCAGAGAGTGTTGGACAGGTGTTTTGACTGACATTCCTCCCAACATCTTCCTGCAGACTTGCAGGCTGGGAAGGCCAGACTCCCGCAGCCTGAGGGCTGCCCTTCCAAGCTCTACCGGCTGATGCAGCGGTGCTGGGCCCTCAGCCCCAAAGACCGACCTTCCTTCAGCGAGATCGCCAACACCCTGGGAGACAGCCCCGCTGACAACAAGCCGTGAGGAGGGAGCCCAGGCAGGCTGTGCCTCAGGATGGCGTGGGCAGGGGAGGACATCCTGAGGGGCGCCCACAGCATGTTGGGCAAGATCCTGGTGTTCCCTGGCCCTAGGGGCCCTGCCCTGGCACCATGGGCACTGCTGAGGTCTGGGCAGGCCTGGGCTTCCCTCCTCTTCCTCACCCTCAGCCCTTGGGGAGGCTGACTCGGACCCAGACTGGGTGACTCGGGCCTTGGGCCGGGCAGCTTTCTCTGCCACCCCTTCTCCCGTCAGGGACAGTGTGGGTGCCTCAGGTAACCCCAATTTCTGGCCTGGGTCTGCTCCCCTTGACCAGGTCCAGTTCTGCCACTCACCTGTCTACTCTATCCAGGGATGGCTACGCTGGAGCTGAGCTGGGTTTGAGGGCAGTTCCTTAATATACTCAAGTTCCTGGGTAGTTCTGGCCCACAGGGCCCACCTTGGGGTGTGCACCAGGATCTTGGAGGACACTGCCAGTGAGTCCTCCCTCCATGGACTTGTGCTGACCTGGACCCGTGCCTCCTCTCCACCCTTCTCTCCTTTCCTCATCCTAAGTGCCTGGCAGATGAAGGAGTATTCAGGAGCTTTTGACACTATATAACCCGCCCTTTTTGTATGCACCATGGGCGGCTTTTGTATGTAATTGCAGCGTGGGGTGGGAGGGTATGGGAGGGAGGGGTGAGCCCTGGAGGCGCTGGGGAGGGTGGGCCATCCCTGCCTCGCACCTTTATTGTTGTTGTTGTTTGTTTGTTTTGTTTTTTTTTTTTTACACTCGCTGCTCTCAATAAAGAAGCCTTTTTTACAACCTGCTTCTGATGCTCATTCCCTGCCGTTGTCCATGAACGATGTCCCTTCTTCCCTCGCTTCTCAGAATTGGCCGTGTGCCTTCCTGGAGCCTGGTGGGTCTTGGACAGGAATAACTGGCAGACACTGGTCCTACTCTCTGGTTCTTGGAGCAGTTGAGAATGTAGGCTGGGAGGACATGAGGCCACCTCTTGTCCGTGTGACCCTGTATTCCTCTCTGACTGCCAACTGCCTATTCTCTGCTGGCTGCCCTAGTCCTCACTGAGCAGAGAGACAGTGCTTAATGCCTCACCGCTCCAGGGCCCTCTGCTGGTGTGATTCCTGCCCCTTCGTCACCTAGACCTTGTGTGCTCAGTTGTACTCTACGTTATTCCAGGAACTTCAGCCTGGTTCCCCATTCTAAAGAAATGAGTCCTCTGAATTGTTCTGGTTCCTCCTGTTCCTCACTAAACTTCTCAGTAATGAAAATAACAGCTAATACTTATTGAATACTTGCTCAGTACCCAGTCACTTTGTAAGCACTTAACATGCATTATCTCATTTAATCTCTGTGATAACTCTATTAGCCAGATGTTATTGTTCCCATTTCACAGATTTGGAAACTGAGGCTCAGGGAGGTCAGGTAGTTTCCCCAAGGTCACACAGATAGTAAGTGAGCCACTGTTGTTGCTGTACAGAGTATTACATCCCTCAGGTGGGTTGGAGTGAAAACAACCCAAGAACAATTTTTCTAGAGAAGTGTTTTTCAAACTGTGGGTTGCAACCAGCATTTTTAAAAAATGAAACTGAGGCTGGCCCTGTGGCATAGTGGTTAAGTTCATGTACTCTGCTTAGGCAGTGTGGGGTTTGTGGGTTCAGATCCTGGGCATGGACCTACACACTGCTCATCAAGCCGTGCTGTGGTGGGGTCCCATATACAAAACAGAGGAAGATTGGCACAGCTATTAGCTCAGCAACCATTTTCCTCAAGCAAAAAGAGGAAGACTGGCACAGATATTAGCTCAGGGCCAATCTGCCTCACCCACACAAAAAAGAAACAATAGAAATTATCAGAGTACATTGTATACCGTAAGGGTAAGTCTTGTTTCATGAAATTTTCTTTGCACTATTTGATAGATGTTTGTGTATATTGGGTATTAGTCAGCTGTTGGGGTGGGTGGTGGTGATGCATAATAACCCCCAAATCTCAGTTGCTTACAACTATTTTTCTCACTCATGGATCTGCAGGTTGTTGAGGTTTGGCTGATCTTGCCTGGTCTTAGCTGAGTAAGGCTAGACTCAGCTGGGCTTGGCTCCAGCCTGTAGGTGTGGGTCTGCTCTGCTGGCCTCAGTGCACGCTCTCATGCAGTGGCAGGAGCACAGGAGGTCAAGCCAGATCATGCAAGCGCATTGAAAACCACAGGTCTGTTAACATTTTATTGGCCAAAGCAAATCACCTGTCAAAACCTAACATGAACACCATTAGGAGGTACTGCAAAGTCACATGGCAAAGGATGTGGATGTCCAATTCCAAGACGGTATGAAGAATTGGGAGCAATAATCTAATTCACCATAGGTTGCAATGTGCCAATGATTTCTTACTGTGGGTTGTACTCAGAAGCATTGGGAAGGCTCTACTCTAGAAGATCATTGATCACTAATTCTCTTCCCACTCCTGGTCTCCCTTGACCAGTCTGCTGTGGCTAATGTCACTGGTCACATCTGCTATGTCAAACTCTCCCCTCTTGACTTTGGTGATGGTATGCTGTATCCGCCTTCTCTGACCAGCCCTTCTCCAGCTCTGACTGAGCCTTCCTTCTTCTGCCTCCCCCAGGCTGTTCTCCTGGATTTTGTCCTTGGCCTTCCTCTCTGTATGTTCTCACCCTCAGGAGTCTCATCCCACCTTACATGGCTTTAACTGGCCCTTCAGTGTGGACAGTTCCCAAAGCATTAGCTCCAGTTCAGCCCCTACCTCAAGCTCCAGATGCATACTTCCTGTTGCCTAGAGGACATTTCCTTCTGCTTGCTTCCCTGGGTCCAAACTGAACTTATCTGTCTCCCAAACCTGTTCCTCCAGCCAGGTTCCCTCTTTCCACCAATGGTACCACTGTATGAAGAATAGTCACCCTTACTCAAAATCTCAATCCATCTTGAGTCCTCCTCTCTGTGCACCCCCCTCCCCATGCAGCCCATCACCAAGTCCATTTATTCTACCTCTGCCCTGTTGCTCTCTCTGCTTAATTTTAAGAGAAAAAAAAAAGTATAAAAGGAATACCGATCACGGAAGAAGTCAAATGGTATAGACTCATGTAAGGCAAAAAACGCCTCGTCTAGCCCCTGACCCACTGTCCAGTGGTAATCCCTATTAGTGTTGGAACATGGCTTTCCAGACTTCCTGGCACACTGACTCACAACTTCTTTTCTTTTCCATTCCTTCTAATGCTGCCAGCACAATTGAGACCTCTTTTCTTCTACGTGAAGTTAAGAATCTCTGTGTAAAGGTTAATTCCAAATTAAAGTAGTTTTAGAATGTTAGTAATTTACTTACAGTCGTGTGCTGCATCACGTTTCAGTCAATGACGGACTGCGTGTACGATGGTGGTGCCGTAAGATTAACCCCTTAAAGCCTAGGTGTGTAGTAGGCTGTACCATCTAGGTTTGTGTAAGTACACGCTATGACGTTCGCATAACAATGAAATTGCCTAATGATGCATTTCTGAAATCCTCATCGTTAAGTGACATGTGACTATTTATTATTTTTGTGAGGAGTCTTGTCGCTGAGCTAAGATCTGTGCCAATCTTCCTCTGTTTTATGTGGGATGCTGCCACAGCATGGCTTGACAAGTGGTGCTAGGTCCATGCCCGGGATCCGAACCTGCAAACCTGGCCCGCCAAAGCGGAGCACACGAACTTAACCACTATGCCAAAGGGCAGTCCCCCTATTTATTTTTTTGATGATAGTAATTTTTAAAAGCAATCCTTCATTTTTGTTCTGATGTTATTTGGATGATAAAAATCAGGAGAAAGAAATAAAGGTCAAGGTGGGAATGGTGTAGTATGAGGAGATCTTGCTGAAATTCTGATGCCGTTCTGGAGGTCCTTCATGGCCTGGGGTGGACGTGAGCTCGCATCTTCCATGGGGCTACTGTGATTTAGGCCTTATCGGAGGAGCTCCAAACTCACATTCCAGAGGAGCCAAGCAGGGGACTTATCTGAGCTCAGTGGGCTGTGTGGCGTCTATAGTGAACCTGAGAGTGGATGCCTCTTCTGTGGCCACCACGCAACTCAGCTCCAGGCTATAGAGCTCTTGTGGGTATGTAGACCCAGAGTTGCTAAAAACTGCAATTTTTTGAGAGTCCAGATATTCAGAGTTTTATGTAACATCTCCTGGTTTTAAAATATGGTCCAAATGAAACTAAACTATGAGCTAGTTTTTGATTTTAACTTTATCCATGTCAACAGTTTTGGCTTCTGAACCTGCAGTAATCCAATATAGTGTGGGTGTAGGTCTCCCCCTGCCCTGTGGTGACAAAGGGCTGCAAAGATGAAGCCATCCCAAGCAGGTGAAGGAGCTGTGGCACTAATGCTGGTGTTTCACTCCGGGGGTTGGGTGAAATTGGAGAGAGGGCAGGCTGTTTGAAGGGAAGCTGAGAACTGTGCTCATCCCGACACCCTACCCTGAGGATGTGGCAGATAGCAGTTGTCCTCTGGGGTGCCACTGCTGAGGGTTGTCCATCCTGCATGTGTCTAAACTAGGGGTCTCAAATGGAAAAGTCTTTAGAAGCCAGGCCTGTGGTTCTAAGACTGTGCAGCTCAGACAAATCACAGTCCCAAGTACCATTTGTGGCCCCTAAACCCCTTCTGGAACCTATTTATCTATTTGGCCTGTTCTTCCTCTTAAGCTAACGCGTTCCATATGTTTACCTGTTGTGTAGAGTAAATTAGGAAAAGAAAAAAAACACTAAAACTACTGGAAATGGGGGAAGAAGAGGGCTCTTAATTCTTGTATTAGGAGTTTGATTAACAAGCCCAAGTTTTTATTTATGTGTGTATGTTTACATATGTATATATACATACATTATATCACAAAACACTTGAACATTCTTTGTCAGTATTTCTCAAAGTCTTTGGATTGTGACTCAGTAAGAAATGCAGTTGACGTTGTCATCCAGTACACACGTTGAACTATATGAAATATGAACCATATGAAATCAACAATATCCCACCCTCTTGACCTATAAGATGGCAGCTTTGTACTGTTAAGCCTAAAACCAATGCAAACCAAAAGTTTTATGCCACAATATTTGCCCTTGGTTTCTGTGATAACCATTAAATGCTGGTTGCAGTACCTTAAATTGACTTCACTACGACTACCACTAATGGGTCACAACCAACTGCTTTATTTAATTTTCACAAGTTTTAAGGCAGGAATCATCACCCTCTCCCATCCCCTTAAACACAGCAGGATGTTTATCCCAGGGATGAGGTAACTACCCCAGGTAGCTCCTATTAACTAGTCACTGACCACTTACGCTGCGATTCAGCTTTGGCCTTTATCTCATTTAATCTGTATTAAGAACCTCATGGATGGGTACCAACAGGGAGGAATATGGAGTTTGGAGAGGTCAAACACTTGTTTCCAGACACAGGACTAGGAAGAGGCAGATTCCATATTTGAATAATTTCTGTAACAGCAAAGCTCAAGCTATTTTCACCCAGACTGGACCCTGAACCTGGGCTTTGCAACACCCCAGTTCTAACCGTTTTTTTTTTCCTCTTATGGGCTTTCCAGAGAAGGGCGTGTGTGTGTGTGTGTGTGTGTGTGTGTGTGTGTGTGTGTGTGTGTGTGTGTTTGCTTAAACTTTCTGCCTGTCTACACTTTTTCCCAGGCCCTTGCACTGACTGTGGAGTGGGCTTTATCCCCGGACCACCCCCTCCCCCAGCCCAGCCCACAGCTGGAAGTCTTCACTGATCTCCATCTCGCCTCCCTGCCCCCCTGGGGGACCGGGAGGCCGACTGTCTCCTGCGGTCTTTTCCAGATGTACGTCTGCCGAAGACCCCCCCACCCCCACCCTCAGTATAGAGGATGATGAATGAGGACCGGGGAGCTGGCCTGGTGGGAACGTGTCGTCGCCTTGAAGAGAGGGAAAGGGAAAGGAAGTCGGGGGGAGGGGATGAGTTGGAGCCCAGTGGCAGGGGCAAGACGAATCTGGACACCGGAGACCCAAGGCCCCTCTGCTCGGGCAGTAACTTTGGCTCCCTCAGGAAGGGGTGGATAAGTGCTCCAATCTTTGCACTCCCTTGGAATTTGGGCTGTATTATATCATTTACTGCAACTAGTACAATCCTCCCAGGGACTACCCCAGTGTTTGCTTGCAGTCCTTTCAGTCCCGGGTTCCCACTGCTGCTCCCTCTGCTCCGCAAGACTGCGCTCCTGTCCCCTCCCAGGTTTCCCCTCCGCTGATTCTCCCAATTCTCTCTACCATTCTCTGGTCAAGGGGGCGGAGTCGTCTCTCTTCTTCTGTTCCTTTAAGAGACGTCGGCTCCTCCCTTTTCGGAGTCGCTGTCTGACGCGGGATGACAGCAGCGAGTTCGGTATGTCTATGCAAATAAGCGCCCCCTATGGGCCAATGGGGAGCGGAGGTGCCGGAACCGCCGACCAATGGGGCGGGGGCACAGGGGCTCACCATATAAGGAGCGGCCTCGCCATAAAAGGAAACATTGTATCTCTTTATATGGGGGGAAGGGTCGGGGGATCCCTCCGCCGCCAGCGCGTGGTCCCGGCCCCCTCCACCCGCCGTCTCCACCGCGGCCAGCAGCCCCTGCCCCCCGGGGGACGCTGACGGCCGCCGGCGCGCCGCCCTAGCATACGGACAGGGGGCGCTGCGCCCGGCCTGGGGCAACCCGGGCCACAGGGGCAAGAAAGTGAGGGCCCAGGTCGGCCCGGGCGTGCAGGGGCCCCGGGTTCGCAGCGGCGGCGGCGGCAGTGATAGCGGCCCCAGCAGCAGCGGGAGCGCCGGGTTGAGCCGGGAAGCCGATGGCGGCGGCGGCGGCGGCTCCGATTCCTCGCTGACTGCCCGTCCGCCCTCCTGCATTGAGCGCCATGTTACCGAGCCAAGCTGGGGCCGCGGCGGCGCTGGGCCGGGGCTCGGCCCTGGGGGGCAGCCTGAACCGGACCCCGACGGGGCGGCCGGGCGGTGGAGGTGGCGGCGGCGGCGGCGGGACTCGCGGGGCTAACGGGGCCCGGGTCCCCGGGAACGGCGCGGGGCTCGGGCCGGGCCGCCTCGAGCGGGAGGCTGCAGCAGCGACAACCACCCCGGCGCCTGCCGCGGGGCCCCTCTACAGCGGCAGCGAGGGCGACTCGGAGTCGGGCGAGGAGGAGGAGCTGGGCGCGGAGCGGCGCGGCCTGAAGCGGAGCCTGAGCGAGATGGAGCTCGGCGTGGTGGTCGGTGGGCCCGAGGCGGCGGCGGCGGCCACCGGGGGCTACGGGCCGGTGAGCGGCGCGGTGAGCGGGGCCAAGCCGGGTAAGAAGACTCGGGGCCGCGTGAAGATCAAGATGGAGTTCATCGACAACAAGCTGCGGCGCTACACGACCTTCAGCAAGAGGAAGACGGGCATCATGAAGAAGGTACTGGGCCGGGAGGCTGGCCGGCCACGGGGGCCCCAGAGGGTGGGGACGCGCAGAGGGAGCCCGGGAGACAGGCAGAGCCGATGCGGAGGTGAGAGGCGGCGAGTCCGCAGGAGGTGTGTGGGAGGGGACGGCTGTTACCCCGGGAGGGTGAAAGGGGAGGGGCCGCTAGGGAAATGTGGGGAGAGGGGAGATGCCGCGAACGTCCGGAAAAGAGGGGAAAGGCGCCCGGGTGGGAGTGACGGGCGCGCGAGAGTAACAGGGCCCGTGCAGAATGAAGGGGTGAAGAGAGGTAATGGGAGGCCGCGAGGCTGCCCAGGAGGTGGTTAATGAGACGCGGGGGTCACTAGGGCCAATGCGCTCTGGTGTTCGGGAGAGGTGCCGGAAAAGCAGGGAGCAGGAGAGGAGGTATGGAGGTGAGGAGGCTAGAGCTGTATAACAACAATGAGCGAGCATGTGTGGGAGGAAGGTGGGCACCACTAGAGTAGTGCTGGCTGCAAGGACAGGCGGGGCGGATGACCGAATGGGGCTCAAGAGCTTCAGGTAAGGGAGCAGAGCAGAACTCATGCTGCCCTGAGCAGCAGGGACCAAGTCCAGCGGTGGCCATGTGTCTTCCATCCCATCCACTGGAAGCCAGCACACTCCCTGCAGCACAGGCTTCAGAACCATCTGCCTTTGGGACAAGTGGGATTTCCAGCCCCAGGGAGAAGCTGTGCATGGAGTTGGGGAGGAGGCAGGGAGATTTACAGAGGTACTTAGAAATTTCTCCTCTTAGAGCTGATTATCCAGGGAAAAGGGGTGAGGAAAGGAGTCATTTAGGGGTGTAGAAGATATGGGAATGGATGGAAGCAGAGGACCTGGAAACAAGAAGCTAGAACCCTGGGAATATTTGCTGGTGTTTATAATGTCCCATATAGAAACCAGAGCTGCTTCCAAGGTGGGTTATGGAACTTTATTGGGAGTGAGGATGCCATCTATGGGGCCATCCTTGAAGGTCCCCTTCTTAGGTTCATGTCAGGGTAGCTGCTAATCTAGCCCCCATCTCCCGTCACTCCAGACACTGTTGTATCAAGACAAAAAAAGAAAAAAAGAGTAGCACAGTATTATAGGCAGAAGGACAAAATGGCAACAGGTTAGGGCCTGTGCAGTTTCTGGGAAGAAACATGGGACAGTTTAGAGCTTAGGTGGCCCCTTATCCCTAATGTCTCCTGTGACTTCCAGTATGGTAGCAACTTCATCCTGGTCCCTGTGACAGTGAAGAGAGGGTGGGAGCCATCTCTTCGTGAGGTTCTGGGCACCAAGCTGTAGTAAGGAGCAGTTACCTGGCTCCTCCATGTCCCGTGAGGTTATATATTCTGTCACCAGGGGGCTGTGACAGTTTTCTGGGGTATCTGCAGGTCAGTGGGGCTGCTCCTCAAAGGAGGAGGATGGCTAGTTTTTCTGCTCTCCAGCTCACCTTCAGATATCCTGATAGGACCCCCCAGAGTCGCTGGAGAGAGGTCATTATGGGAGTGGGGCTCGAGATCACCGTGTACTTCCTCAGTTTCCTACTTCCCAAGGAAGGTAGAGATAAAAAGTTTGCTGACCTACCCATCTCCTCCCCCCTACCCCCAGGCCTATGAGCTGTCCACGCTGACAGGGACACAGGTGCTGTTGCTGGTGGCCAGTGAGACAGGCCATGTGTATACCTTTGCCACCCGCAAACTACAGCCCATGATCACCAGTGATACGGGCAAGGCACTGATTCAGACCTGCCTCAACTCGCCAGACTCTCCACCCCGCTCAGACCCCACCACTGACCAGAGAATGAGTGCCACGGGCTTTGAAGAGACCGACCTCACCTACCAGGTGTCGGAGTCCGACAGCAGTGGGGAGACCAAGGTGTGTTTGGGTTGCTTATGGGAAGGGAAGGAAGGGGAGGGACTTGACCGGCAGAGAGGGGAGGGGGTGCCTCTCTCCCTTGTCTAGGACAGGTGGATAGGCGCCCACGGATGTGGAATGGAGCCGGGTTAGTGCCCCTCATCCTAGGGGACAGGTGTCCATCCTCGCTATCCTGACAGGAGGCCAGCCCCCTAGATAAGCGGGCGGCCTCCGTGCCCATATAAGGCCGGCTCCGGCTCCACGCCGGCCTCCCGCCTGCAGCCCGCCTGCCTGGCAGGGCCCTTGCATTCCTCCCGCCAGCTGTCTCCCCGCTGGGGGCGGGGGCGTAGCTTAGCCCTGCCCTCCCGGCAGGCTGGGTCGCCAGGGAGTAAGAAGGAAGCACTCATAGATTCCAGGGCCCTGGGAACCCAGCACTGTCGGCAGGCAGGCTGGGTGACTGGGCTGGAGACTACCTTACTAGCCAGCCGCCTACCTCTTCAGGATGTCCGGGCCTGGGCACGTTAGGGAGCGAATTCGCAGGCTGCTAGGCATGCCGGCCCTCGTTACGCCTCCCCCTTCCTTTTCCCGGTAAGGAGAGGGGGCGGGGCTTCCTCCACGGTTCCTCTGGGGAGCTCCACCTTCCGGGTGGCCTTCACTAACAGGCCAATCAGAGGAAGCGGCACTGTTTGCCTTAGCAACGCCTCTGCCAATCAGGGGCTTCGAGCTCGACTGCTTAGCAAACATCCCGCGCTGACCCACCCCCAGTATTTGAGCCCCCTCAGTTCTCTGAGCTTGATTCTCAGCTCGTGGCTTCCTCCTTCCCCTTCTAAGAACAAAGGCTCCCTGAGGGGAGAATCAGTGCTCTGGGCTCCCTTCTCTCTTAGTGACTTATCATCTAATAATTTTTAAAATCTTAGCAGTAGGGATCATTTATTCTCAGGAAATTTTGCTGAATGAATAAATTCCTTTGGTAGTTTAAATCTTAAGTATTTGTCATAAAGTGCTTCATTGCCAAACTCCCAAGATATCTCTCAAACCCTAAGTTCGGTGAAAAACTCTCGTGTCTGTCTCGGAAGCCTGGCCAATCAGAGCTGGAAGGACTCTTTTAAAGACGTAGTAGGGGCTGGCCCTCTGGCTGAGTGGTTAAATTCGCACCCTCCGCTGTGGCGGCCGGGGTTTCGCTGGTTTGGATCCTGGGTGCGGACATGGCACTGTTCATCAAGCCACGTTGAGGCTGCGTCCCACATGCCACAACTGAAAGGACCCATAACTAGAATATACAACTATGTACTGGGGGGATTTGGGGAGAAAAAGCAGAAAAAAAAAAAAAAGATTGGCAACAGTTGTTAGCTCAGGTGCCAACCTTTAAAAAAAAAAAAAAGAAGACATAGTAGCACAGCCCCCCTCATGTTTTAGAGACGAGGAAAACTGGGGCTCTGAAAGGGGAAGCAGTAGGTAAATGGCAGAGCTGGGATTTGAACCCGAGCACACTGGTTCCAGTCTGGGCTGTCAGTCTACACAAAGCCTCTGCAGGGGCAGGGACTGGTAGAGGCTCACCGCTCCATCTTTACTCTGGGTGTAGGACACACTGAAACCGGCGTTCACAGTCACCAACCTGCCGGGTACCACCTCCACCATCCAAACAGCACCCAGCACCTCTACCACCATGCAAGTCAGCAGTGGCCCCTCCTTCCCCATCACCAACTACCTGGCACCAGTGTCTGCTAGTGTCAGCCCCAGTGCTGTCAGCAGTGCCAACGGGACTGTGCTGAAGAGTACAGGCAGTGGCCCTGTCTCCTCTGGGGGCCTCATGCAACTGCCCACCAGCTTCACCCTCATGCCTGGTGAGTCATACGGGGCAAATTGAGCATGCCGAGAGTGGGTTTAGGGCTGGCACAGGGAGAATCTCTTTTCCTGCTCAGAAGAAGGGTGCACAGGGACCAGAGCCTGAGAAAAGCCTCTTATGTCCCACTGACAGGCATGTCCTTCCCCACTGGGACCCCTACTATCTTTGTCAGTAAGTTTCAACCATATACTCTAGCCATATCTAGCTAGTCTAGCCCTGTGCCCTCAGTTCCACAGGGACAGCAGACATTCTACCACTTCCTTACCTTGCCTGGACGGCAGATCATGTGTCTTTGATGGGTCGATGCCAGCTCCTGTGACAACTGAAGAGGGTAGAGGCAAGACCTAGGACAGAGGAGAAGGGAACGGCAAGAGCAGAGTGTGGAAGCCCCTGGAGACCAGACTCAAGATATGAAGGGCCTCTTTGGCACCCAGGAAATATAGTGATGGGAGTCGGGGACCAGTGTGCCAGACCCTGGGCCTGGGAATGTTTGAGGGTGCTTGGGGCAGGTGGTGGCTGGGTAGGACAGAGCATGAGTAAGTTTCTATGTCTCACAGGTGGGGCAGTGGCCCAACAGGTCCCAGTGCAGGCCATTCAGGTGCACCAGGCCCCACAGCAAGCGTCTCCCTCTCGCGACAGCAGCACAGACCTCACTCAGACCTCCTCCAGCGGGACAGGTATGGCTCGAAGCTCTGTTACTTCCCTGCCCTGCCTCCTTCATGAGGCCTAGCAGCAGGTGCCCAGCAGTATCCTTCTTATAACTAACATCAGAGAATTTCTTAATGTGGAGACTGGCTTAACCCTTATCCTACTCCCTATGGGAAAGCCAGGTGAGGATGGCTGGGTTTGGAATCTTGCCCTGCAGTAGGGCTGTGGATTCCAGGAAGAAATTACCGACCATTGAAGCCACCCTCCTCCTCATTCAGATGAGAAGCCTGAGGCCTGGAAAGGAGAAGTTACTTGCCTAAAGACGCACATTTGCTTAATTACCAGGAAGGATTTATAGAGCAGTTCTCTCCCTGTGGGAGGGTGTCCTAGGTTTTGAGTAGTCATAATTCCCCTTGGTGTCTCTAGTTATTTCAGAAATGATGAGACACTTTCAAAATATAATTACTTTTAAGTTCTTGTTATTTACAACCTTGCTACACAAAGTGTGGTCTATGGACCAACATCACCTGGGAGCTTGACAAATGCAGACTCTTAAGCCTCACCTCAAAGCTCCTGAATCAGAATCTGCATTTTAACAAGATCCCCAGGTAACTGTGTTCACGTTAACATTTGAGAAGTGCTCGTTTAAAAGATGGATTTGTTAGCCACACATTTAGGAAGAGGGAGGAGGAGTGAGAACATATGAAAAATGGGATGGTGGAGCTCCCCAGAAGGGGAGTATCCAAGTTTCCTTAGAGTGGGTCAGTCATGGTAGTCTTTGTTTTTCCAAGGGCCTTAGGGTCTTGGAACAGAGAATTTAGCAGATAGATAATCGAATAGTATGCTGTGATAGGATATAATTAAAGGTTGGTGCTGTTGTGTTGAAGAAAAAACAAGGCTTTGCTTAGTTGATGACAGGGAGCAGAGGAATGAGTCTTGTCTAGCTTCTGACCTGGGAAATGGCAAGAGGGCTCTGGAGACCTGGAGTTCCTGGAGGTGGGATGGGGGATATCAGTAGGGACCAGTTCCAACCTCCCTGACATGTGTCTGTGTTTGCCAGTGACGTTGCCCGCCACCATCATGACGTCATCCGTGCCCACAACCGTGGGCGGCCACATGATGTACCCTAGCCCCCATGCGGTGATGTATGCACCCACCTCGGGCCTGGCTGATGGCAGCCTCACCGTGCTCAATGCCTTCTCCCAGGCGCCATCCACCATGCAGGTGTCTCACAGCCAGGTCCAGGAACAAGGTGAGTTGGGGAGCAGGGCTGAAGAAAGGAGGACCATTTCCTCCCTTGCACGTACACACTTAAATGCCCCTATGCAGACTCAGATGTACACACTCACACACACATACATCTATGCATGGATGCTTGCACACACACTCCATCATGCTTGTCCACTTGGATACTCATGCACACTTGAACACTCATACTCACATGCACACTTGGACACATTTGGACATTCACCTTTGGGCACTTATATCTGAGACACACCTGGTCACTTGTGCATTTATCACCACTCCTCCAATATCTGGAAGCGATTCGAGTGTCTTCTGTGGTTTCCCAATGCAGGTGGCGTCCCCCAGGTGTTCCTGACAGCACCCTCTGGGACAGTGCAGATCCCTGTATCTGCAGTTCAGCTTCACCAGGTAGGTGGAAGCACTTTTTACCCCATCCCTGCCGGCCAGCCATTTCTTTATATTGACCTTGGGGATTCCATTACCAGTTGGTTGAAGCCAAGATCCCTAGCTGGGAGGCCTATCTGTTTACCTGGTCAGGCTTGTGGTGAGCAGGCAGGCACGCAGTGGGGAGCCTGAGCTGGCTGGTCAATTCCTGCCCCCTTTCTTTACACACCTCCTTCCCTCCAGATGGCTGTGATAGGGCAGCAGGCCGGGAGCAGCAGCAACCTCACCGAGTTACAGGTGGTGAACCTGGACGCCGCCCACAGCACCAAGAGTGACTGATCCGCCCTGCCACCCTGGACAGATGGCCCAAGGGATGGCACCACTTATTTATTGTTGCCTTTTCACGTTTTCTTTACACACACGTTGACGGGCCCGCAGGAGGGAGGCGGGGAGGAGGAGTGGGCAGCCACGGGACTGAGCCCTCTCACTCCAGCCAAAGAAATGGGCCGGCCTGCCCTCCACCCCATCCTCCCTCACCCTCCCCTCCTTCTAGCTCCACCTCCCATTTCTGTTGATGGTGGGCTGTCCTCCCTCTTCAGACTCCCTTTGCCAGCTTGGCTCCATGTTTGCCATGAGTATTAGCTTACCCAATGGGACCGTGCCCCACCTTCCCACACACAGGCCTCTGTGGGACTAGGCACTGTGTTCCCCTGAGGAAGCAGTTGGGGTCCTCTGCCCAGCCTCCTTGCTGACCCCATGTCAGCACTGTGTCTGCCACAGGCTGGGTCAAAAGAGCCCTGCCCCTGCCCCTCAGGGAGCCAGCTGGGGAGATGGGGCTTCTTCCCTCACGCCGCCCACTGCCCCTGCAGCTCCTGAGAGCTGGGCCTGTGCACGGAGCAGGTTCCCAGGGCCACCTGCCCTGCCTTGCCGCTCCCCTCGGAACTCCAGGGGCTCCTGGGTTGGAGGGAACCACCAGGGTTCCCTCTCCCCCTGTCTTCCCCCCTCTCCTCCCAGCTGCTTTACTTAAAGTTGATTTTGAACTTTTTATTTGAGGAGACGAAGTGAAAACAAATCTATAAATATATATTTTTAAAATATTTAACTTTTTTTTATGGCGTTTTTCTCGTCCCCCTCCCTGCCCAAGCTCCCCTTCCCTGGGGAGCCCTGGGGCTCCCCGGAACTGGCTGGGCCTCTGGGGGCAGAGCCACCCCAAGAGCTCGGGGCCCGCCAGTGTGTGGGGGAGATTCTGGGATTGCCCGGGCCTGGGTTGTTTCCAGGAGAAAACCGGGGGAGGGGCCCTCAGGCCATGCCCCAACGGGGTGGGGAGGGTGACCCACAGCTCTGGGCCTCTTTTTGCCCTTTAGGGCTGTTGCTAGGGAGAGGGAAGAGGGAGACCAAATGTGGGGGTGGGGTGGGAGGGTGTCAGGTTGAGGCAACTGACTTCATTTGTGCCACACGCATGGGCATTGCAGCCTTGTGCTCCCCCAGGCCTGCAGCAGCCTGGGGCCCAAGTTGCAGTGAGCAGGGTGGAGTCTGGGAGGGGGTGAGAGGCAGGAATGGGGGTCGAAAGAAATGGGAGCAGCTCTTGGGCTGAGTGCAGCGATAGGGGAGCCAGAAATGGGCAGCTCTCCCAGGGAGTGAGCAGCTACTGTAACTTTTTTAAATTAAGACAAAAAGCCTTGAAGAAAATGACTTTATTTTTCTAAGTGTAACCTCAGTATTTATGTAATTTGTACAGGGGCTGTGCCCTACCCCCTCTGCCCGCCTTGGGGTAGACCTTGAGGGTGGGCCAGCGTAAGGGGAGGGTCTTTTACCCTGTGTCAGAGCCTACCTTCACCACCTATATCCAGAGAGGGAGCTTTTTCAGAACAGGGCAGTAGTTGGGGTGGTTTTATTAACCCCTCATGACTGCCTTCAGTAGGAACAAGCCTGCTTCTGTGATTAGGTGAGGGGGTGGGGGAAGTTTTTACGCACAGCCTAGTTATCGAGGGGATGATTTGCCGACATGTTTGAGAACCCCCTAACCTCTAACTCCCATTGCTATCTTGCTCCAATTTGGGGTGCCAAAATGGAAGTCACCTTTCTGGGCTTTCTCCTGGAGATAGCTGGGGCTTATGGGTGGCTTACAAGGCTGGGGCATGGCAAATCAGGGGCCAGAGAGTGGGGGAGCTTGGGACTCAGGTCTGTAACTGCCCAGCCCCTTTGCTCTGCTCTCCTTTCACTCCACCATCACTCACTCACTCACTCCCCACTCCCCCACCCAGGGGAGGAGACCCTGATGAATTCCTCCTCTCCTTCCCACAAAAGACAGAACCAGTGAGTGAATCAGGCAAAGTGCTTATAATGGGTGTTGTGTGAGCGTGGCCTTGGGGAGAACATGCGTGCGTCAGGGATGAGGTGGCGATTATATGTGCAGTGACCCTTGGTGTTTCCCTTCCTTGATGGCTCTGGGGTGTGTGTGTGTGCCTGAGTGAATGTGTGTGTGTGAATGTGGAGTGTGTATGTCAGTGGTTTCTACTTCCCCTGGGATGCTGACCCAGGAATAGTGGACATGGTCACAGTCCTATGTACAGAGCTTTCTTTTGTATTAAAAAAAAAATACTCTTTCAATAAATGTATCATTTTTGTGCACAGACTGTGGGGTCTTTGCCTCCGTTTTTCTATATAGAGAGGGAGGGAGGGATGAATACGAATCAAACCCCAAAAGTTGCTGCTCTGAGAAGCAAGCCTGGCTGCTTGACGGAAACATCGGCAATGCTAAGGAGAGCTTTGGGCTGCTGAACTCTACGATTTAATTTAAGGAACATTTCAGGCGGGTGGGGGCTTTATCTCTGTGCATGGCTTTGCCGGGTGTTGGGCCAACACAGAAATGAACAATTTTAATTAATAGGAAAAGTGACTCAACCAATCCAAAGCATTGCCGAGGGGTTTGGGAAACTCACGCCCTCGTTACCCAGTGAAAACTCAAAGGACTGCCTTAGGCGGGGAGTGTGGGTTACTAGGTTTCGGGGGATGAGGAAAGTCGACTCACTGAAGGGGAAGGGGGCTTCAAAGCTGATTGTGGATGGAAAGGGCTACCTACCGCTGCACGCGGGAGCAAGGGGACCGCGACGCGGGCTCCGCCTGCAGAGCGCCCCTACCCAGCGGCCCGCGGGCACTACGCATGCGCCACTCCGCCCGCTCGGCTGTGGGCCGTGGTGGGACCCGTAGACGCCCGGCCGCGCGCGCACTCCCGTGTGACCCGGAAGGGAGCTGCTGAGGAGGCGGGGCCAGGACGGCGGGACCGGCCGCTGGGCCCCAGCGAGGGCCGAGCTGGGCGGTGGGAGGTGAGAAGAGAGTCCTGCGCTGCTCCAGTCCCCGCCCCGTCTCTCCCCCGCGTCCCTTACCCATTCTCCGTGGGGCTGACGACGGGTCCCAGGTTTTGCTCTCTGAGATTAGCTCGGTCCTGTCAACCTCGGACCGCGCCCCCCCATCCTCACCCCGCCCCGCCCAACCCGTTCCCACCGCTGCCCTGGCCTCCGCCGCCGCCCCTGCTGGTCTGCAGGCTTGGGCGTGACCTTGCTACCTGCGCCTACCTGCTGTCTCATCCCTGCGTCCACACCTCTGCACACCTCAGTTTATTGTTCCAGGCCCATGAGAGTTCCCCCGCTCCTCCCCTCTCAGGCCCATCTGATTACTTTAGTCCTCCACCCTGCTCATCAGTGGTCCATCGCATCACTGGTTCCTTCCCAGTCTTGCCCCCCATGCTAACTGGACCCCTCCTCCCATCGAGGTCCACCTCCTATGTTTCCCCTCTTCTTCATGCCTTTCTTCTACTCTTATCTTCTCTCCGTGACCCCAACAGGACCCCTGCCCTGATCACCGTTTCTTCATCTGGGTTTCCCTTCCATTTTCACCCTCACCACTCCCTGTTGCCCTTACACTGCTTCATATCACCCAGATCTTTTCCTGACCGCTAGCCATCACCCTACTCCCATTCACAATCTTCTGGCTTAATATCTTTCCATTTGTCTGAGGACTGCTCCTACCTTCTCCATTTAAGAGTAGTAGTATCAGACTGTGTTTACAGAGCACTCACTATGTGATAGAGGCTGTTCTAAATGCTTTACATACATGATCTTATTACAACTTCATGAGATGGGTATGAATATCATTACCATGTTGCAGAGGAGGAAACTGAGGTTCAGAGGTTAAGTAACTTGTCCATGACTATGAATATAGTAAGTCAAAGAGCCAGAATTCGGAGTCACATTTATGTGACTCTGTAATCTGTACTATATTGCTTCTCTAATACTTCCACCATCTCCTGACCTCATTCCCTACCCTTTAACTCCATGATTACCACCTCCATCTAGATACACCTGCTTAGACCCTCGCCATGTATACAGCACAAGTGCACGGTGGGACCTGTCTTTTTTTTTCCATAATTTTATCTGGCCTCTTGGGCCCCTCTCCCTTTCACTCTCCTACCCTTTTCCCATCCAGCCATCTGGATGTGGGGACCCAAACCCTGGCCTTCCTTTCATCTCTTTTCTCCATATCTGCCATGGCCCACCCCTTTATAGCCGCGTACCAGCTTTACTCTGTCATTTATACTCCCTGTCCTACCTCTCCCCTACCCTGACTTTCCTAACTTGCTCTAGCCCCACTATCATACATGCTGCTGTCTTTCCTGCTCACCCGTATAACTCTTCCTTAAGTCCTGATTTGTATCCCTCAGCCACCCTTCTGTTCTGCCCATACTGCCCCTATTAATTAGCGCTTTTTGTTACCTTAGCTATTATTCTTCTCATCCTCTCTCGTAACCTCTTCCATTTCTTAAACCCCTTCAATTCATCCTCTCGCTGTTTTCACTCCATTCTCTTTCTCTTATAAATCCCAAAGTATGTTCAAGTTATTTATTCCATCCTATTCTTGGCCTTTTCTATTTGGCCTCTGAATTCCACCATGCAACCTACTGGTCATCACCCACCCTATCTGTGTCTCAAGATTCCACCCCCTCCATGTAGTCTTCTTCCTTTCCCATATTGCCTTTATCTTTCTTCTTGTGTGTCCCAGGAGGTCAAGATGGTGGGGGAACGGCGCACTGGGGACCTCATGGTGCCCCTGGGGCCCCGGCTGCAGGCATATCCTGAAGAACTTATTCGACAGCGGCCTGGACACGATGGACGTCCTGAATACCTGATCCGATGGAGTGTCCTGAAGTGTGGGGAAGTGGGCAGAGTGGGTGTGGAAGAGGGCAAGGCAGAACACATCCTTATGTGGCTGTCAGCCCCTGAGGTCTACGCCAACTGCCCCATGCTGTTAGGTGAGCCGGCAGTATCTAAGGGACCTCAGCATGAACCAGCTGGGGGTTCAGGAAGCTTTCCTCGAGATCCAGGAGGCTTGGATGACGTAGCAATGGGAGAGATGGAGGCTGATGTGCGGGCACTGGTGCGCAGGGCTGCCAGGCAGCTGGCAGAAGGCGGGACCTCGAGCCTCACAGCCACTGTGCTCCACACCATCCACGTACTCAGTGCCTATGCCAGCATCAGGCCCCTCACTGGGGTCTTCAGGGAGACGGGAGCTCTGGACCTGCTCATGCACATGTTGTGCAACCCTGAACCTCAGATCCGTCGGAGTGCGGGCAAGATGCTGCAGGCTCTGGCTGCCCACGATGCTGGTAAGAGACAGGCAGGGGAAGAAGGAAAGTGCTGGAGAGAATGGGGCCACAAGGAGTCAGAACAGAAAGAGGAGGGATTTCTCAACTCTCTAAGAGCACCGAGTATTTGGTGAATATCAATTCAATGCAAAGGAAAAGTATTAATTAGCTAAAAGATTAATAAGCTATTCCAGGTACATAAACAGGATAAAATGATAGCACCTGGTTTATCTTTCCATTCTCAGTGCAGTGGCAGAGAAGAGAATGGGATAGGTTTATATTTCTAAACTGGATTGAGATTTATTAGTTGGTTGTGCCATCAGTTTGGTGGGTTACAACCAATGTTTTTTCGGTAATGTAAAATAGCCAGTATGTAGCAGTTAGTAAGGGAAGTTTTGTAGCATTGAATATCGGTTTCAGTTGTACATGTGTATGTTTGTGTTGGTTACCATGTAAAATGTATATCTTACTGTGAGTCTCAGTCATGAAGATGTTTGAAAGCCACCGGAGTAGGGACAGAGAGTCTAGGAAAGGCAGGGGGAACGTATTGGGGATTGAAGAGAAGATACGGATTGGGTGTGGATTACAGGGAGTCGGGCTCACGTCCTTCTGTCACTGAGCCAGCAAGATGGCATCGAGCAGCACATGGATTTCGACAGCCGCTATACTTTGCTGGAGCTGTTTGCAGAGACTACGTCCTCTGAAGAACACTGCATGGCCTTTGAGGGCATTCATCTGCCTCAGGTACTCTGGCAGCTGTTGGGGAAATGCTGCGTACAAGGCCTAGGGCATCATTTCTGAAAATGTGGTTCAGGACTGTGCGTCAGCACCAGAGCCACCTGGGGAGTTTGTTAAAGTGAAGGTTAAAGGCCCTTACCCCTACTCAGAATTTCTGAGGTTAGAATCCAGGAATCTGTGTTTTAAGACACTCCTTGTGTGTTATATAAATCAAAGTTTGAGAACTACAGGTGTGGGGATGAGGCCTTTATATTTTTCTGTAGAGGATGACATTGAGGGGAAAGGAAAGGTGTGTAAAGCTGGGAGAAGATGACCCTACACCACGGACTGTGTCCTACAGATCCCGGGAAAGCTGCTCTTCTCCCTGGTGAAGCGCTACCTATGTGTCACTTCCCTGCTGGATAAGCTGAATAACAGTCCAGAGCCAGGGACTGGAGACCGAGGCTCCCCGTCCCCAAGAGAGTTCAGCCAGGAGAAAAGCCGTGGGCAGCGGGAACTGGAGTTCAGTATGGCTGTGGGCAACCTCATCTCAGAGCTGGTGCGGAGCATGGGCTGGACCCGCAACCTCAGTGAACAGGGCACATCGCCGCCCCGGCCAACCCGGTCCATCTTTCAGCCCTGCATTTCAGGCCCCAGCCTTTTGCTCCCCACCATCGTTGCCACCCCCAGAAGGCAAGGGCGGGCCTTCCGCCAGCGCTCTGAATTCTCTAGCCGTAGTGGCTACGGCGAGTATGTGCAGCAGACCCTGCGGCCAGGGATGCGAGTGCGGATGCTGGATGATTACGAGGAGATCAGTGCTGGGGACGAGGGCGAGTTCCGTCAGAGCAACAATGGCGTGCCCCCTGTGCAGGTGAGCGAGTGCATGGTGGTGGGACGCTGCTGGGGATCTTTTTTGGTTGGAGCATAGCTGGGGCTTCCATGTCTGGGACTCTGACAGGCCATCCATAGGGAAAACCCCCAAGGGAATTGGAATGGTTACAGGGGATCAGAAGTTGAGAGAGGGGTCATTTGGAGGGCTGGGAAAACCTGGCGGGAGTGGGTGGGCTGTGAGATCAAGGAGAGACTCATACCCAGGAAGCAGAAATGATACATTGAGACAGCCGTCACTCCCTACCCAGTGGAGCTGGCTAGGAGGGAGTGTTGGAACAGAGGCCATCAGGGTTAGGAAGAGAGGAGAGGCAGGGCCGACCCCAATAGGGGAAGGGAGCTTTTTGCTTTATGGAGGCTTTTCCAAGCCTAGCTGAGTGTGTATCTGAG